AGGTTTTCTTCCAGAATGGTCCTGTATTTGGCTCCATCCATCTTCCCATCAATTTTAGCCAGCTTCCCTGTCCCTGCTGAAGAAAAGCAGGCCCAAACCATGATGCTGCCACCACCATGTTTGACAGTGGGGATGGTGTGTTCAGGGTGATGAGCTGTGTTGCTTTTACGCCAAACATATCGTTTTGCATTGTGGCCAAAAAAGTTTGATTTTGGTTTCATCTGACCAGAGCACCTTCTTCCACATGTTTGGTGTGTCTCCCAGGTGGCTTGTGGCAAACTTTAAACGAGACTTTTTATGGATATCTTTGAGAAATGGCTTTCTTCTTGCCACTCTTCCATAAAGGCCAGATTTGTGCAGTGCACGACTGATGTCCTATGGACAGACTCTCCCACCTCAGCTGTAGTTATCTGCAGTTCATCCAGAGTGATCATGGGCCTCTTGGCTGCATCTCTGATCAGTCTTCTTGTTTGAGATGAAAGTTTGGAGGGACGGCCGGGTCTTGGTAGACTTGCAGTGGTCTGATACTCCTTCCATTTCAATATAATTGCTTGCACAGTGCTCCTTGAGATGTTTAAAGCTTGGGAAATCTTTTTGTATCCAAATCCGGCTTTAAACTTCTCCACAACAGTATCTCGGACCTGCCTGGTGTGTTCCTTTGTCTTCATGGTTCTCTCTGCGCTTTAAACAGAACGCTGAGACTATCAAAGAGCAGGTGCATTTATACGGAGACTTGATTACACACAGGTGCATTCTATTTATCATCATCAGTCATTTAGGACAACATTGGATCATTCAAAGATCCTCACTAAACTTCTGGAGTGAGTTTGCTGCACTGAAAGTAAAGGGGCCGAATAATATTGCACGCCCCACTTTTCAGTTTTTTATTTGTTAAAAAAGTTTAAATTATCCAATACATTTCGTTCCACTTCATGATTGTGTCCCACTTGTTGATTCATGACAAAAAATTTAAATTTTATACCTTTATGTTTGAAGCCTGAAATGTGGCGAAATGTTGAAAGGTTCAAGGGGGCCGAATACTTTCGCAAGGCACTGTACAGTTAACACAGGCTGTACACTATTACCATACGATAAACCTTAGTGTAAAAGTGGATGAGAGCCAGACAAAATATTGGATATTATGGAAGAAAAGGAAGATATTTTGTCATGTTTTCGTTTTAGTTCAAAAAAAAAAAACTGGAATTAATTAGATTGGTAACAGACTAGACTAAAAGTATAAGCTATAATTTCTACTCTCCATTTGTGTACCATCATAAATTTCACTGGTGTTATATGACTGAAGAACTCTCATGATAAGTATGATAAACAATAGCTATTTTTTGTGTAAGTTTGGGCACAGGAGTGTTGTAATGGGACAGACTTTTAAATGGTCCTCCATAGTCCAATGAATACAGTGACTGAATTTAATATTCGTTAAGGCAAGGAAAGTTTATTTGTATAGCACAATTCACGTTACAAAACAATTCAAAGTGCTTTACATAAAACATTAAAAGCGTTACTGCGGGGGTGCAGAAAAAAGATAAGATCAGTTAAGATAATTCTAAATCTATGCCCAAGAAAGTAATTTATCAATAACATTGTAACATTTTCATCTTACCTTTGATTATGGACACTCCTGCCAGCAATATGTGAATTCCTGTTCAATCCTTTGTTGGCTACCATGAAGTGTGCAACATCAACATTTTCACCACCTTTATCTGATCTCACCCGAGATGGAATGCCATACACTTCAACAGCTCCCAGAAAATGATTCAGCACTGTTGCTGCACGGTTGTTGGTAGCGGCACTCAAGTACACAATGAGACGACTAAAGCCGTCAATACCACCATGCACAACAATACGCCATCTGAAATACATATATATGAATACACACTAAGAGCAATGTCACAAATTGTAATTTACATTTCTGTTTGTCTGCTTGTGTTTTGGTGTGTTATTTGTTGTTTGTCTTGAAGTTTCAGTATCTCAGTGCACTGAAATGCAGTTAGAAAGGATCACTGACATATAATTAAAATCCACGCTGTCTCAACAACATAAGCGTTCCAGTCCTTTTCAGACACTAATGGAAGATGAAAAATAAATATAATTTCCACAATGTCTATAGGTTGTATACGTAACTGTCTTTAAAAAACTAAACAAGGGAAAGATTGCTTTATCTCGAGCTATGACTATTAATGAAAATATTGAGTTCCTTCCCTCTTTATCAGACAGCAGTGGCTTTCGGGGATGGACTGAGAGGGGTCTCCTCACAATGAACCAGTTGTTTGACGGAAATGTAATTAAAACGTTTGCCCAATTAAGAGCAAAATTCAAGTTACCCTCAAGTGATTTATATAAGTTTTTACAAATTAGGAGCTATGTAACAAAACATAATGATTGGGAATTGATTAGAAGAGAGTCCACAAATATAGAGAAACATTTTATTAATTTGATTGAAAATGGTGGTGTAATGAAAAAACAAGTATCCTTGCTGATTGACATGTGTGGGGGTGTGGGCAGTCAGATCTGAAGGAGTTTGATTGGAAGACGAAAACCAGATTTTTCAGAACTCCGTTGAAATCTTTCTTCGCCAAGAGCACCATGAGTGACAAATGCTGGAGAAACTGTGGATTTGTCGGTGATCAGGCTCACATCTTTTGGGACTGTCCCACCATATATACATTTTGGTTTTGTTACGACCCGAAGGACAAAACATATTTTAAGGACACAGACAGGTTTAGAGTTCAAAAATAATTATTTTATTTATACATGTTCTTTTAACTGAACTCTAGTTTGTTATTATTAATATGAATATTAAATCAAACCAACCCCGTGTCCAGAATACAAAAACCCAAAGTAATCAAATTAAAGGTGGACCTGGTGGGCCAGCCAAAACAAACAAAAATGGGCCGACACCGAACCAACCCTATACAGGGCCGTCCGGATCCGATGCCGGCACCCTAACTTAAGAATAAACAAAACCCAACTAGCCACACCCTCCAACGAAAATGTAACCACCGGACCCACCAGCTCAAACAAAAATAAGGACAAGGAAAAAAAGGCTAACCAAATGGCTAAAGCAACAACCAAACCATGCAGCGTCTGGGGAGGCCGCAAACCAGGACTAGGAGGGAGCGCGCAGCGCGTGCACGCTCACCTCAGCAGGAGTTTGCAAAAGTCAGAGAGCAGAGAGGGGCGGGAGCGCACCAGGACAGCGCTTCTTATACTCCCGACCCGAGCTGCAAAATATACAAAATAAGTTACAAAAACGTTATCAAAAATGCAACCTATAAAATATACTTATACAAAACACAATCTTACAAAAATAACTATAAAACCCAAAAAATACCTGGACAAAAGAAGATAAGATAAAACCAAAAGGGGGGGAAAAGGTGCCCAAACATAACAGTGATCAGGCTCACATCTTTTGGGACTGTCCCACCATATATAAATTTTGGAAGGATGTTAAGGACATTTTGGAGAATCTACTAAAAGTTAACATTTCTTTAGACCCACAAATATTTTTATTGGACATTTTTCCTGACAACCTTTCTCAAGACCAAGCATTTCTTCTTCATCTCCTCTTAATGACCGCAAGGAAAATGATAACAATTTGTTGGTTAAAACCTGAGCCACCTACAGTCATGCAATGGATACAAAAGACAAGACAAGTTTATTCAATGGAACGGTTGACAGCACAACTACAATTAAAAATCCAGTTTTTTGAGAGAAGATGGGGACCGGTTATTGACTTTCTGAAATAGGACAAAAGCCTAGCCTTAAATTAGTTGTTTCTGATTGTAAATAATGTGTGAAGCCCAGTCTCAGGACAATGTTCATGTTTTACTTGTGTGTAATCACAATAAAGTTCAAAAAAAAAAAAAAAAAACTAAGCAAGTTGAGTTGTCCTGCTTCAAGCTTATTCACAATACTACCAGTTGGTAGATGAAGTGTCTTAGAAATAGTTAGATTTTTAAGATACCTTATCAGTTTGTGGTTGCCGTCTATGTGCCACAAACTGTTTGGCCCTAGTACAAAGTACTTCCTGCGCCTTTGTGGGTTCAGCTGGAGAGTCCGTACTAGAACTCCATTATGATCCACACGGTGCATGGATTCCTGGACACGCTGCCCTGTTAAGCCAAAAAAAAAGGATCAATTTCAAGTCATGTTTTCCTATCACAAGTAGTGCCAAATTTATGCTGGGTTTATGCAATACTTAATTTGTATGCGGATGCCCTGTGCGTTCAGGTGCCCAAGCATCATCTTATAGCCACAGTTGGGATGGTGCTGCAGAATTTGTGACACTGTGTCATCCAGAGTGTTGTCATCTAGTGGAGTTAATAGATCATGGACTCTGATAATGACACAGTCAGTATGACATCAACATGACAATGAAAACAAAACATCCATCCATCCATCCATCCATCCATCCATTTTCTTCCACTTGTCCTGCCGGGTTGTGGGGGCAGCTGTTGGAGCTGCCCAAATCACATTGCACCAGCCCCTATGGCTCCTCCTGCAGGTGGTGGGTCCACAGAAGGACGGCCTCATGGTTCTAACCAGGCCTGTTGGTCTCTCATAAGGGGCTTCTGAACCGCTCTTTGTCTGACCCGTCACCTAGGACCTGTTTGCCATGGGAGACCCTACCAGGGGCACCAAGCCCCCGACAACAGAGCTCCAGGATCATTCAGGCTCCACGTTAAGGTGGCGGTTCCAGGAGGGGGAAAACAAAACAAAACGATAAAAAAAAAACTTTGAGATCACATCACATGACTGATATTGAGAATTAAACTGACAGTGATGCGGGCCTGAACATTACAGCCTAAAGTTGTTGACTTCAACGATAGGTTGTGGATATGTCATATACTTAAGTGTATGAAATTAATGTATAAGATGATAAAACGCTCCTACATTCATCACTTTGCAAACGTATGAATATAATAGAAATACACACACGAGAAAGGTATACATTACCTTATTCCATACTGTGACATCCTCCGATGAATTGTTCTTTCGCACACTCCGAACAACTGAGCAATGTCACCAACGGTGTGACCCAAAAGAAGGTGAGCTTCAATCATACATGGAGGTAAAAAATAGGATTTACGGCCAAAGTTAGCCTTCTCGGTTTGTGAGAGGATGTGAAGCTGCTGTATAGCTTGTTGAAGAGCGTCCAGCACAGTTGCATCAAAGTCTACCTCTGGGTCAGCACTGTGATGAACTAAAACATCTAATAGTCTTTCCAGCCGAAAGAGTAGATAGTCCTCAGGTGCATTATGCTCAACATCATTAACATCATTTGCTAATGCTCTTAATTGATGAGCAATGGCTCCTAAAAAACTTACATTCGAAACTGCCATCATACCACACAAAAGTGCACAGAGGATCTCTAGCTAGCTAACAGAGTACCGTAATGTGAGGCAGTAATGATCGAGACCAGAGTTCACGCAATCCTAACCAATCCTGTTCTAGATTGAGTTCAGCACCGCCCACCTAATTAGCATACAGGAACACAAAAATACATAAATAAATAAATGAAGAAATGTAGAAATACACAAATAAATAAATGAAGAAATGTAGCGACACAGAAATACATAACTAAATAAATGAAGAAATGTAGAAATACATAAATAAATAAATGAAGAAATGTACAAAATACATAAATAAATATATGCAATAAATGGATAAATAAATAAAGGAAAAAATGTAGATATTGATAAATAACCTAAATAAAAGTATATTTATTTGATTTCAGAGTAATATTTAGCATATCAATGTTAATTTAGTTTTTATTGTCCAAAATGAATGTATTTATTAATATATTCCTGTATTTATTTATTTATTTATACTTTAGTCATTTTTGGTCCTCCATATAAACTATTGCTTTAAGCAGCAATGACAACTGTCTGTTTTTTTTTTGTGTGACAAGTGAGCTGTCAATCACAGCCCAGACCACGCCCAACTCTAAGCCCCCCTTCTTGTCCCTTGGTCCTCCAGGCAACGCCCTTTTTAGAGACAATTTTCAAATGTTCATGTGGGTGGAGTAAGGCTGGGCACAGGTGTTTAGTCGCTCTTTAAAGTGGTTCTCACCTCCGCTCCTCGGAGCTTACGTTACTCACATTTCCTGTTCAAATCTTCCTCTAAATGGGCGTAGCCTGGAGGACTAAAGGGGGCGTGAACGAGACTGGGCCGTTTACATTGCTCTGGGCGGGGGGCTGCTGACGTCAGGTCTTGCTTCAGACGTCAGGTCTTGCTGCCGCGCCAGTGTTGGCGCCAGATTCAAAATTCAAATGTAGTAATACAGGTCGCCAGCAGATGGCGCCTCACAGACGGTTTTAGGCAGAAAGTTTAACTTTCAACTAATTTCCACCAAAGTGACAAAATTATGACCAGGATATGTAGACAACACTATTGGACACTCATTTATACCGTTTATCAGCAAAAAAAAGTGGATTTGAGGGTGAGTTGTCCCTAATGACCTGCACTAGGACCTTAGAACCACTACGGCTATTGCCACTTTTTATTGTACATAATAATACAATTAATAATAATTGTACATATCCTGCACAGACCAATTTTTAATTTTTAACCTTAACATATTGTGTGTGAACTGTGCTATACAGATAAACTTTCCTTCCTGATACATGTGTACAGTATCAGGAAATAAGGGACCATTTGCACATTTTCCATACGGACACAAGGAAGGACAGAAAAACAGCTGTTATAAATTCAAAATAATATTCAAATAACTTTATGTGAGAGGAGATTCAGAGGTGCGACATCACAAACCAGAGCGGTGCAACATCACAGACCACAGAGGTGCGACATCACAGACCACAGAGGTGCGACATCACAGACCACAGAGGTGCGACATCACAGACCACAGAAGTGCGACATCACAGACCAGAGAAGTGCGACATCACAGGAGGTCTGTTTATTTTTCTACAATTAATGAAGCTTTTGTTGCTGATGTGTGAGATTTTAGTGCAACTACAGTTAAATATACCTTATTATTGTTAAACTGTATTTGTATACTTTAAGTTTTTATCATTATAATAGTATTGTGTCAAATTGCTGGATGTTAGCAGGAACTGGAGCACAGTCATATCAGCCGGAGAGTCCAGAGCTGTTCTAACAAATGCAACAACATTTGAGAGAATCTGCTCCATTGTTCCATGATCTTTGTGAGATCGAGGACACTCTGCAGAACTTTGTAATAATTCCTCGAACAAAAGAGGACAGAAATGAATTTTATTTTTTGAAGAAGAAAAATGTCAGTGATGAAGTTAAATACTGAGGTCTGTATCACTGTGGCCCAGGAGCAGGACACACACAGGCAGCTCTCTGTGATCTTTACGGACGATGGAATATACAAAGTTTAGTTTTGGGTTAGTTTGTTTAGTCTGAGGGAACGGTGACTTTATCTGCATGGTCCTACACGTATTCATGTGTGAGAAGTTGGCAACAAACTAGTTACCGATTATGTTTTTATTACAGCTGCTCTCCACCACAATGTGAAACTATGTATAGGCTTCAATTCAATTCTATTATCTCTCTCTATTTCCTCTCTCTCTTCTTTACCCTCTCTCTCCCCTCCTCTCTCTCTTCTCTCCCTCTTCACTACCCTCTCTTTTCTACCCTCTCTCTCTTCTCTCCCTCTTCTCTACCCTCTCTCCTCTCTTTCTCCTCTCTTCTCTACCCTCTCTCTCGCCTCCTCTCTCTTTTCTCTCCCTCTTCTCTACCCTCTCTCCTCTCTCTCTTCTCTACCCTCTCTTTCCCCTCTCTTCTCTACCCTCTCTCCTCTCTCTCTTCTCTACCCTCTCTCCTCTCTCTCTTCTCTACCCTCTCCTCTCTCTCTTCTCTACCCTCCTCTCTCTCTTCTCTCCCCTCTCTCTACTCTCTCTTCTCTCTCCCCCTCCTCTCTTCTCTCCCTCTTCTCTACCCTCTCCTCTGGAAAAAGTGTTTTTCATAAATCAAACAGGTGCTTGTGCTCGGGTCGAGATGCCGAGGAAAATGTTCTTTATGCAAATCCGTCGCACAAAGAAGGAAACTCGACGAACTGAGATTTGAATATATAAAATAAGAGAAATGACATTTACTTTGAGGAAATGTTAACCATAGAAACCAAATGTGAGACATTCCAGTCCCCAATCATTCCATCCATTTATGATCGTTGAATGTTGGTGAATTCATGAAGTACAGGGAAGAAACAATGACTAATTTTATTTGCCATTTGCAGTAAAACCACACTGGAATACACTTTCAAAAGTGTATTCAGCCATGGCACCTCTGCTCAACAAAGATAATACGTGTAAATGTTTTTGTTTTATCACAGGTCAAGATGGACACTCGTCTCTTTCTGCTGCTTTGGAGTGAGTCAAATCCTTATTTATAACTGTATTTTAACATTTCACATAATAAAGACCAGGAGAAATGGGAGGTAGATGGAAGACCTCTGGGAACAAGCAAACCAAGGACTAAGAACATACGCAAGAATTATAAACTAGTGTATATTCTACTGACCAATCAGAGCTGCTGATCAGAGCGGAGTCAGAGCGGGAGTTTGTTGCATTAAAAAGTGGATTTGATAAAACAATATCAGGATGACAAGGACACAAAAATACCCACAAAATACGACCTTTATAAAAGCTTTAGGTTCTGTCAGGTTCTCTGTCAGGGTGTATTCAGACCAGAAAAGTCCTTTGGTCCGCTTGCTTGGTCCGAACCAAAAGCGGACCAAACATTTTTCTTTTGTTCCGGTTCGTATTCAGACTGTACTTCTTTCAAGTTAACTTTTTTTATAAACATATTGGACAGGGAGAGCTCACAAATAATATTTTATCTAGTTCGTCATACCATTGAGTTTCTTCTCCAAAACTCCCACTCTTCTTCAACGCGTCTCGTACTTTCATGTAAGTTTGGCGAAGTTTCTTCACTTTGTCGAGGCATTGGTCAGGAGACCGCTCGTAGCCCCTCTCCATTTTCTTGCTAAGCATGTTGAACACGACCGCATTTTTGTGTGTCTTTTCCAGAAGTTGGGTTATATGTGCCTCTGCCCACATTTCAGGATTCCCAACTAATCCTGGTCCGTTTAAAGTGGACCAAAAGTGCAGGTCTGAATACACCCTCAGATTCTCTGTTAGGTTCTCTGTCAGGTTCTCTGTTAGGTTCTCTTTCAGGTTCTCTGTCAGGATCTCTGTCAGGTTCTCTGTTAGGTTCTCTTTCAGGTTCTCTGTCAGGGTTCTCTGTCAGGTTCTCTGTCAGCTGAGGTCAAGCTGTTTTAGTTTACATTGAGTTCTATGGACATTTTCTGGATAGCCCACGTGAATTTAGTCTGCAGTACCACAGCGCCCCCTGTGCCCCAGGTTGGGGCAGCTATAAGCTAGTAATACTCCAGATATTATAGATCCATGCTTCAATCTGACTCACCTCTAATCGGGCAGCTCTCTTCTCTTGTCGGTTTTAGGCCTGTGTTGTGGCGCCGTGTGTGAGAGTTATGGCTATCACTTCATCAAACACAACAACACGTGGGAGAACGCGAAGAAGTATTGCAGGGAGAAATACACAGACCTGGTCACGATGCACGACCAGGCGGCGGCCGAGAGAGTGTCCGGGAGCGTGCCCCAGGGTCCAGGGCAGGGCCAGATTAACACTTTGTTGTACCCTGGGCAACAATATTCAAGGGCCCCATCATCACGACCCCAGGATCACCATAATATGGTCATATATAGGATATATTACTGTAATATACAGTAAATATACTCAATACTTCAAATCCTAACTGTCATTAGGTGTATTTTCATTTACAAATATTTAAAGCTCATAGAACTACGAATGCACTACTATGTCCCCTATCAAAGACATTCACTCACATATGATGCTATGAAAACAAAACACATCAGCATCTGTATAATCTGGTAACATTGACCCACTACATTGAGAGGGAAGGAAGTATCCTCCATTTTCACAAAAAATGAATAGATAAGCAACCACTTTTAAACCATTGTTTATTTAACAACACTTATTCCCAATAGAAATGTATGGAATAGATAGAGCTATCACAGAAGACCACAGACAACAGATCAAGCAACATTTTGGTCCTCTGCTCATTGAACTTGTTTTAAAATAAACAACATGCTATAGCACAATTAACCAGTCAAACATTTTAGTGCTTCATAAATACACTACACAATACTAAATACACAATACAATTTCTCTGAAGAAGACGAGATAAAATAAATGGTATATAATCTGCCAAAACACAAAATTTGAATCTTAAATAATGAGGAAGTGCATGTTTGCTTTCATTTGGCATCTTATACTGGCTTTTTTCTGGACTTTGACTGTGCAAACTGATGTATGATCTCTTCGAAATCAAGGCCACTAACAAGTTCATGTTCAATGGCTAAGAGAGAAAGTGCAGAGAGCCGTGTCTGAGACATTGTGGTCCTCAGCTCATTTTTAACCCGTTTCAAAACAGAAAATGACCTCTCACCCTCACAGTTAGATACAGGTAAGGTTAAAAACAGTCTTAGTGCAACATAAACATTCGGAAATGTTGTCTTAAGTCCATGTCTGTCAAGAGCTTGCAGCTGCTGTACAGGTGAAGTTTCATACTGCACAAAGTGCTTGAACTGAATAAGTTCATCTGACAAGGAACTATCCAGATCTGTTGGATAAGTGGAGCTCAGTTTAGCAGCTCTTACACGCACATCACAATCGTCACAGTCCCTCTCAAACAAAACCCCAAAGAGGTCACACACATGTGTGTAGGCTTCTATGCGCTTGGATAGGCATGAACAAAGGCGGTCAATTATGACGCAATATGTTTCAACTTTAAATCGCTGTCATTAAAAGCTACTTCGCTGTCATCAGCAGACTCATCTGCAAATCTCTTTCTTTTTCTCACACGTTGAGCGTCAAACTGGTAGTTTTGTGTCACACTGACCGCGCGTGCTGATTCTTCGAGCTCTGGAAACTGTTCTCGTAGAGTACCAACATATGAAAGCAGTGAGCGCAAAAGGCCAAGAGCAGTAGCTAAATCCATATCGCTTTTTTGGAGTTGGTCACTTGTTGCCTTAAATCTATGCAGTACCCGGTCCCACAGCACAGTCATTATTACCGTCTCCAGCTTATCAAGTTTTGCGACCAATGCAGAAGCTTCGAGTTTAGTTTGTGTTTTCTCATCACAGTCTAAAGATATTTTAGCCAAAACTTCTCTAATTGCCCCGTAATTTTCTTTGAGAGCCTTTGTGGAGTGTGCTCTGCAATTCCATCGGGTGGTGCTGAGAGATTTAAAAGTGTATTTAATGTTATGTTCGCTGTCATTGAAAACTGTATTCCAGCGATGAGTTGATGCACTACAAAATCCATACAGAGACTGCAGCAGTTCAAAAAAAGAGTTAACCTCCTTACAGCAATTATCAACGCAGTTAACACCTACGAGGTTCAGAGAATGGGCAGCACACGGTGTATAATGAATTAGCGGGTTTTGTTTTTTCAAGAGCGCCTGGAGCCCGTTGTATTTGCCAGACATGTTGCTCGCATTATCGTAACTTTGGCCACGGCAGTTTGACAAGTCCAACCCCAAGCGACGCACCATTTCAATCACAGATTCAGCTAGGCTGACACCTGTGTGGCTGTGGATGGGCTCAAACCCGAGGAACCTTTCCACTACTCTGCCATCTGCACTGACAAAACGAAAAACAAATGTGAGCTGATCTACATGTGCTAAATCTGGTGTTGAATCAACGATTACAGAGAAATATTTAGCATTTTTGATTTCCTTTGCAATCACTTGCTTACATTTTTCACCCATCAATGATATAAATTCTTCACACACCGTTGATGACAAGTAAGATGGCTTACCTCTACCCTTATTGCTGTGTTTCTCAAGGTCCATCCATCCATCCATCCATTTTCTTCCCCTTAATCCATTTCTGGGTCGGGGGGGTGGCAGTCAGAGATGCACCCAGGACACATAGCACCAGCCCCTCACTGATCCTTCTGCAGGTGGTGAGTCCACAGGAGCTGAGATCTTTCAGTGGGGGCTTTGGGCAAAGTGGGGTTAAGTGTCTTGCCCAAGGACACAACGACAGCAGTCATCAGTGGGAGTCGTGAAGTAGGTCTTATGGTGGGCTCGAACCCACGACCTTCAGGCCCAAAGGCCAATGCTCTACCAACTGAGCTACTGTCGCCCCTGTCGTGTTTCTCAAGGTGCTCCTTTAAAAAGGGGTCAAACTGCGCTATCAGTTCAAGCAGTCCCAAATAGTTCCCATTGTGCGCAGAGCCCAGCAGTTCGTTGTCACCTCGAAATGGCAGTCCTCTCGCTCCCAAAAATTTAATGACAGCCACCACACGTCTGAGGACTTCTTTCCAGTACAGCTGTTCTGACTCGCACTGTCGGGCAAGAGAAGCGTCCACTCTGCATGCATATTTAGATCGGTGTAATAAAGACAGCATGTTTTGTCTATGATCTGCACTCTTTTCGTGATCACTGACCCTCTCTGGATGTTTCCAATCACAGAATCCGCTGATAAATGCATGCTTTTGAGATGACAGAAGTTTGCAGGCATAACAATAAACTGATCCTGTTGATGGCGAGTAAAGAAGCCATTCCCTTGGCACAATTTCATTGTTTGGGAGCCGGCAGTGAAGCAAATCGTTGGTGAGGGAGCGTGTTCGACTTCCAAGTCCGGACTCCCTTACCGATGCAGGATACTTTGAGGCCCGGTTCTGGAAAGCTGCAGGCCCTCGGGAAACCGCTTCTTCCCGCAGCCGCTCCGTAACGGCCCCCCACAGTGCAGGATCCCCCGGCAGTAGAGACGTTGAGATGCAGGGGCCGCTCCCTGACTCGATAAGCGGCTCAGGTGGCGGTGAGACTGGAGACCCGCCATCACCGCTTCCCTCAACGATCAGACTCACGGTCTCTGGGTTGTTGTTGTCATTGACGTTGTTGCTTGAAGGCAACAGCCCGGAGAGCGAAAAGCCTGCAGTGTAGAAAAATCCTGGCTCGCTGAGTTATCCTCGTCGTTGATGGAAGTGGACTTAACAGAACTGTCTGCAACATTAACAGGAGTGAAGAAAGTACCTATTTTAGGTATATACTTTAAATTTTCTGCGTTTCTGATGTCCTTTTCCTTTTTTAATTTTCGCTTCGCGCTCCCGCTTAGCTTCTCCATCGTGTCTGATTTTTTTTTTTCGGTTGTAGCAACTAGCAACGCCTGACGTCACGTAACACGCTCGGGAGCGGGAGATTACAGTAACAGTATTTTGCTCGTGCCCTTGCTGTCTGGGCCCTTTAGATGGGCCGCCCATGACGGCCCTCCGTGGGCCCTGGGCCCAGACAGCAAGGCCCTTTAGATGGGCCACCCACGGAGGGCCCCTGGGCAATTGCCCAGTTGCCCGTATGGTTAATCCGGGCTTGGTCCAGGGCCTTGGATCGGCCTTTACCACAACCTCACGGCCAGTCGAGTGTGGCGCTGGTCCCAACCCGGCCTGGAGTTCAACACCATCACTGAAAACTGGGATGAAAAAAAGAATCAAGCAAATGCAAATAATATAGAGAATTGTGTATTTGTAAGAAATGGCACATGGCACGATGCAAACTGCTACGATAAGCAAAAGTTTCTCTGCAACAACAGTGAGTCCATTTTCTGAATTTACAGTTTTATCAAATTCAAACAAGCATTTTTACTCCACAGGCAGAACTTCTTTTCTCTGGTCCATGCTGTAAAAAACAAGGGCCTCAAACGTTATTCATCCTTCAGCTGCTTTAATCGGACAGGCCGGGAAATATTCTAGGGATATAAATCATTGCATTCTAAATATTGAACAAGACATTCTTTAGGGAGCGAGCGGCGTGTGGTTATGAGTTTGAGATCAACTTGTAACAGTGGTCTTGGTCCCCACAGTCATCACAAATATAATATGAAGAGATGAAACGTGTTGGTTTTGAGAGATTCTGAAATCTCGCCAGGATAATTCCGATTTAATAAATCCATACAATAGCGGTATGTAAAGATAATAGTAGGGGCTACCCTGGTTTTATCCATCTGTAAACTCTGGTCCATGATCATTTCCTACATGTACGTCTGCGTCTGATTCTAGTGGCTGCGGTTTCCTAGATTGAAACCCCTCCGACCAATCAGAGAGCGGGTGTTGTAGGTTGGTGTTGTTGAAGTCAAGAGTTTGCACCAAATTTGCTGGTTGTAGTTCAGCAATTGCGGCGAATGTGATAGTAAAGTTCTGGTTCAATCCAAATATCAAGAAATTGAAGCCGGAGCCAGACGTATGTCTAGTTAGTAAATGTCATTGATGCAAAGATGTTGTGGCTCTACTCCCCACGGGCTCCGTTAGAGGCTAAGGCAATGGCTAAAGCTAGGCTAAAAGCTAAAGCTAGGCTAAATGCTAAAGCTAGATTAAATGCTAAAGGCCTCACTCACTCGGGCTCATTACATACGTCACGGTAAACTCAGATCCAATCGTTTCAATCTGCAAAATGAGTCAACCCCTCCCACCTGTTAACGAAGTCAATGGAGCAAACCCAGACCTTAGTACAAAATGAAATGCTGACATGTCTTCTCTGACAGATGCTCTTGCTTTCCCACTGTGTCTCCAGCTCCATTATTCCATTGTTCCAATGTTTCTCACAGGTTCAATCAACGAGACAAATAACTTGAAGTGGTTGGAAGCTGTGCGGTCCTGCCGGGATCAGAACACAGACCTGATGAGTGGACCACAGACTGCTGATTGGCCTACGACTGGTACATACTGGATTGGCTATTTCAGAGACGCCTGGTTCTGGTCCAATGGAAGCAAGTCCTCGTTTCGAAACTGGGCCGTCTCTGAACCTGTTCTTAAAAACAACTGGGGGCCAAAGGATCCGCAGTGTGCCAGACTGGGAGAGCAGGGGAGATGGAAGACTGCAAACTGTAGCGAGACACGGCCCTTTATCTGCTTTGACGGTGAGACTCTGGTCTGTAATTATTGCAGGTGCTTTAGGAAATTATAAAGAAATGTCTGGTGTACTTTATAAGACTCACCAAATAATAATAATACATGTTATTTCTTAGGCGCCTTTCTATACCCTCAAGGTCGACTTAAATAACAGGTGAAAAGAACACCTGGAGCCTAAGTCCTGGATCTACAGCCTCAGTCCTGGAACTACAGCCTCAGTCCTGGATCTACAGCCTCAGTCCTGGAACTACAGCCTCAGTCCTGGATCTTCAGCCTCAGTCCTGGGTCTACAGCCTCAATCCTGGATCTATAGCCTCAGTTCTGGGTCTACAGCTTCAGTCCTAGATCTACAGCCTCAGTCCTAGATCTACAGCCTCAGTCCTAGATCTACAGCCTCAGTCCTGGATCTACAGCCTCAGTCCTGGATATATAGCCTCAGTCCTGGATCTACAGACTGTCCGTCCGTGGGAGATGTTCCCTCGGACGGACCTGACTCCAACACTTTTCACTTTTTCCCAAACGGTTTTTGAGTGGTTCCTCTTTGATGCATGAGGATCTAAGGGTCAGCTGACATTTATTAACATTCCTGGACAGTTGGTCATCCTGCTCCCTTTGGATTAATGTCTCTATGTGTTTGTTGCATTTTCGTTGGAACGGTTTGATTCTCTGATCTGTGTTCTGTGTTTTGCGAATCAACAGCATTGTAAAGTCCTCCGAGATAACTCCTGTTGTTGATTTACAAAAATACATTGAATTAAAATCATGCCGAGGGTCTCTTCTCTGACGGATCCTCTCGCGTTCTCTTCCAGACCACATGATCCTGGTGAAACAGCCGAAGACCTGGGAGGAGGCGTTGATCTACTGCCGCACACACCACCACGACCTGGCTGTGCCGATCACCCGACAGCAGAGGCGGATGGTGCGGCAGCGAGCTAAGATGGCCGACACCGCGCACGTCTGGGTGGGCGTGCACTTCGCCTGCTTCTTCAAGGAGTGGTTCTGGGTCGACGGTCACTACGTCCAAACCGCAAAGTGGGGGAAGGGAGAGCTTCACAGAGTGTGGCGTGACCGGAGCCGTGGCCAAACAGGGGGGGATGAGATGTATGCCAAGCACTTTGAGGACAAGTTTGATTTTATTTGTTCGGTTTGAAGCAGGAGAAATGTTTGGTCTTGTTTGGTCTTTCTGAAGTGTGAGCTCGAGTGCAGTGGAAGCCGTTAGCAAATACCATGTATAGTGACGTACAGTGAAACTTAGAGAATATTGTTCAAAAGTTAATTTATTTCTTTAAACCAGTCCAGATGGTTTTGAGGCTGGACCACAGAGTGAAGGGGCCAACAAGTGCTAAGCCTCATGGGAACTCCTTCAAGACTGTTGAAGACCATTCCAGCTCATCAAGAGAATTCCAAGAGTGAAGCAGCAATCAGAACAAAAGGTGCTACTTTGAAGAACCAGAATATAAGACATATTTTCACTTGTTTCATACTTTTTTTAGTACGTACATAATGAGTTCATTCATAGTTTTGATGCCTTCAGTGTCAATCTACAATTTTCATAATCAAGAAAATAAAAAACTCTTTGAATGAGAAGGTGTGTCCAAACTTTTGGTCTGTACTGTAGTATGTAGGTCACTGGATATTACTGCTTACTTATTGCTGGATATTGCCATAAAAATGGAGACTATAGATTCAGTTATTGATGTTTGTAACAATGTGAGGACTTTGTTTCATTCTGTTGTTTTTGTTGTGATGCTTTAAAAAACAAGGTGTGTTACGATGTTGTCAAAGGTCTAATCTCCTGGTCTTTATGGTGCTTTAACAATATGGGAGCCCAACCTTCTGACGGTAAATGCATTTTTTTTTTAACAATATTCTAATTTTTGGTTTTTAGGTCAGTTAAATAACGACCTGTTCTTAGCAGCTTCAGCCAACATCGTCACAAGTTCTATAGCTTTTGTCCCGGAGTTTTTCTACAGTTTGGTGATAAACCTTTCTATCTACAGATTGCATTGATTGAGTTTACATGGATCACACTCTTTTGTTTCCAATATTGAAATTCTCTGGCAACACAACAAAACCAGATGAACTGCTGTGTCCAGTGTTTCGTCTTGAATCCTTTTTACGTTTATCTAAGAAAACCACAAATACAAAATTTGGCAACTTTTCTTGGCTCCACAACGTTTCGGTATATCAAGAAGAAATCCTTCAGATAACTCTATCTTAACCCTATCCCCAGATATTAAATAATACAAAAAATAGATGAACTAGAAATACTTTATTTTCATTGACTTCATTATATATATATATGTCTTAAGTGGCAAAGAACAAACCCTGTGAAACATGATCCATCCTCGGACTCTCATCTTTAGTCCTTTTCTTGCAGCAGGAGACTGATACATCAGCAGCAGCAGTGAGGACATGACAGAGTTAATAATTTAGCCATTTCAGCCAATATAACAGTATATGAAGTGTATATACAAAGGATAAAGTATGCAACTCTATATTATCTTTACATTTAGACTTGGCACAGTGGACTTTGGGGAGAGTAGCCTGAACTCATCCATCTGTAATCTCTGGTCCATGATCATTTCCTACATGTACGTACGTCTGGGTCTAGTCCCAGTGTCTGCATTTAATCAATCAATCAATCCTTTATTATCTCACAGATGGAGAAATTCAGTTTGATGAATAAACATCAAGGCCGGCAGCGGACAACATATCCGCGCTCCTTATGACAGTTATTCAACAGCAGAGAGCAAAACACTTATTTCAACTTATTTCACAGACATTATTGGATGGAAACAGAACATTCGGGAAAGCATGCAGATCTTTTTAAAGGGACGTTGTCACTCTGACGCACCTCGTCCAATATGGTGTGTCAGAGGGGGAGTGTGGGTGGGGGAGGTGGAGGGGAAGACCACCGTAGACTGAAGGAGAGAGAGACAGACATGTAGAGGGAGGGGTGAGCCAAACAACTGGTATACTGAGAGAGTCTGTGATTTATGAGAGAGTCCATCTTCGGCCTTGAAGGCCGGCTGTGTGGTGGAATGTGGAGGACAAAGATAAGAGCAGGTGCCTGCGGACGTGGGAGACAAAACAACACATATGCCTTTGGGAGAATTTGTAAAGCACTTTTAGCTGGTCAAATCAAAAAGGAGTGTAGACTTTAAGCCAAATAAGTCCAAATTAACTGGAGCTGGATCCCTTTGTTCACCGCTCTCCAGAGTTGACCACGTCAGTGCGAGTGTTCGCCATTAGGCCCAAGTCCTTCAATCAATCCCTCCAAACGTTTATGTCCTTCCATAGACCTTAATCCCAGATCTTTAAGGGACTGTTCGATCTGAACCACACCTCTGTGTCCCAACAGTGCCCTCGACCACGACCCTGGTCAACCCACGGAAACTCTCATTGTTTTCCGCGGAAAGCCGCTTGTAAATCTCACGTTGTGATAGATCAGGCCAACTCCAAATCCAATCAGGAGGAACCCTGCTACCATAAATCCAAAAATGTATATATCCTCAATGTCTTTGATGGACAGTCCCGACAGACAAACAGGGTGCCACTTTTGCCAGTTGTCAAAAACGTACCCAGCAGCCGCCGTACCATCCGGACAGACGGCATCTCCAGAACCGCCTTTGCGCGATGAAAAAATAGTATCAATTGCTTTGAGGGACCAGTTGATTAATTCCATCATTTTTCAAGTAGCAGTTTAGGCAGAACTCTGCCTGCGGTTCTTACATCGGTTGAATCGCCTCCGACCAATCAGCTAGCGCGGGAGACGGGTGTTGTAGGTCGGTGACGACAAGAGTTTTCGCCAAATTTGCTAGTTTGGCGGAGAATGCGATAGTAAAATAATCTGTTCTGGTTCTGTCAAGAAATTGAAGCCGGAGCAAGAGGAATGTTTAGTAAATGTCATTGCCGCAAAGATGTTGTGGCTCTACTCCCCACGGGCTTCGTTAGTGGCAAAGGAGATGGCTAAAGCGAGGCTAAATGGTAGCGTCTCACTCGGGCTCATTACATACGTCACAGTAAACTCAGATCCAATCGTTTCAATTTAGTACAAAATGAAATTCGTACTATGGTGTGGTACAACCAGGATAACGTCAGAGTGGCGGTTCTTACACTGTGCGTACCCTGAGGACCGATTCTTCTGAACCTTGTGGACCTTCTGAACCCAGAGCCATTGCTGCAGTTCTCTCTGGAACATCTCCCACATCAGGAACTCAGACTCAGACTCAAAACCCACCTGTTCAAAAGTGCCTATGCACAACTGTTTATTTTGGCTTTTTATTATTTTTACATATTTGTAAAGAGTCTTTGTGTGTCCAAAAGTGCGCTATTTAGGTACGATCTGAGTTTGGATTGTTACCATAGTCACCAGGAAATATAATTCAGCTTCTCTCCAGCACAAAGTGAAACTATGAAGTCTAATTGTCTTTATGCAAATCAGTCCATCACAGAGAACACAGAAACTGGATTCTACAAGGAACAAGGAAACATTTTAATAAAGAGCAAATCACAGAACTAGAACTTACCTCGAGGAAATGTTACCTTTTTCAACTGAATCTAATACAAATACATATTTGGTAAACAACATATAACAATGTAAACATGTTTGTTTTAGAATAACATGGTAAGCTGTAAAACTAGCATTAAAGCTAGCCTAAACACTGCTTAAAAAAAGGTTTCTAGAGAGGGACAACAAACATCTTCTTATGAACATATCTTAAGGAATTAATATTTCTTACACATTTATTTACGACCAAAATGATCAAATATAGTTATGTACCTGATTTTGAGCCATATTGTTAATGTTGTTGCCCTCTGCCATGATCAACCCTGCGCAGGCTCGATTGTTAATGTCTGTATAAGGCCTATTTCACGGTTGACGTCACAATGCGGAAGTAAATGAAATGCCGGGTATGACGACTTCCGGTGCGCTGTTTCTGTAAAGGACGAGAAGAATGGATTCGGCCAGCGCGACCAATTTCTCCAAATCCTTGCGGAATTTGCCGAAAATGACAATGGGGGACGTGATACGGATAGCATCTGAGTTGTCACTAACAACATGTTCAAAATTGGAAAAGGGCGACAAGTTGTTTGTGGAAAAATATGTGTTCAACTATAAAGGCAAGTCACCATTTGTCTGACGGATCTGTGCTTAGTGCTGTATTAAATGGTGTTTTAATTAGCCTTAGTTCATTTACACTTGGAATGAGCTAAATAAGAGTAAACAAATAGTGGAACTAACTAACAGGCCCTTCTTGTAATTGTTTTTACCAACAAGCATTAAGGTAACGGAGAAGCATGATGGATGATGGAGCCATGATTTACGGGTGGATTTACATACTATGTAATGGAGCAGTGAAAATACGCTTTTGCTGGGTCTACCAAAACAGTTTGATAATGCTATACTGTCAGCATGAGCATCATAAAAAACATGTAGTTAGATTTGAAATATATAGTATGTATATTGTTGATCACTTTCATGTTTCAAATTTTGTTAAAAGTTTCACTTATCATTCTAATATTTATGAAATATATAAAGAAATGATTATTTTTTTATATTTTGTGTTTTATTGTGTATTATATGTATATGTAGTGTCAGGAATAGTAGGAGGAGAAGTGGAAGTTCGGGCAAGATGCTACAGGTCTATGAGGAAGCGTGAGGTGCCACATAACCTACAGGTTTACTTTGAAACACTGCTATTTACTGCCGTTGCAGTTGGTTCTCATCCAGTTGATAAAGTTGCTGCTGTTGCAGCGAGTTCTGTTTTCTCCTCTGCGTTATTGTCTGTTGTCATTCTACATGTTCTGTGTGCGCCTGCTAATGGCAACATTGTGACTGATGTGTTTTTTAATTACAGATAAACCTGAAATCTGGGGAGGTTCCTGTGAAGGTGATGTCCACCAGTTGTTCCTGTGCTTCAGGAAAGATTTTGTGAAACCATCTGGTTGCACTTCTCTATCAAAGTGCACATTTCAGCACCCTGAATTTGAGTGTGGTTCCTGCTGATCTGTCTTGCACTGAAGAGTAACAAACCTGGCACAGACCACGCACTCAGGTTAATCTTAATAATATATATATATTGTTTTTTTCTGAAAGTGTTAGGCAAGTTAAAGCGAATATAATTCAATTGAATCTGTCTTTTTCTTTTGGCAGGGAATCAAGTCAGAGGCAGTGGATGAAATGATAGTGAGGAAACCAAAGCTTAAGAGTAAAAGGACAAAGAGTTTTGTGAAGTCGACCCTGTACCCAGTATACTCTGGTAATCAAAAGTTAATGCTTTGAAACATTTGTATCTGACATCCATGTTAATTAGGTTTTGGATAGTTCACATTAAGATGAATCAAACAGTCAATCACTTCACTAAATGATTGTATTGTCCATGCTGTACCCTGCTGTTTGTTCCTTGCCAGTCTTTGTGCTTGCTTTGATTTCTGCTCTTGCCTGCACTACTGCTTCATATTCTTCAACTTGACAATGTTTCCAATTTTCCCTTCTAGTTTCTGACCCGTTTATTGTCCTTGCTACCATCTGCTTTGCTGCAAGATGTTTAGATACTTGGTAACATGTGTGCACTCCAAACGCTACACTCCAAACGCTACACAGGGTTAAGCAAGACTGACTCTGGAGTATTATGTTTTTGAAATGTTCTATTCCACTTTTGTTTGTAATTTGCTTAATTAGTAGTAGGAGTAATAATAATATTACTGAGCATCTGTGATAATGCACTTTCCCTTCTGGATCAATACTTTTAGATATTTAATTTAAATCCTGCTCTGCATTGGTTGTTTTGTTAACTCTGTTCTATATTCAGAAAATTGCTTTGTAATAAATTGGTTATTTGTGTTGTAGGGTCTCTTCCTGATCCTCCTCTGATGCGCATTGGTGACCAGCTCAAACACATACAGCCTCAGTTGGGCATTTGCAAGATTCTTTGTGGCCTTGAGGAGCTGACCCTGGTGGACTCCAAATTTGGTCCAGTGCCTCATGGATCTGTTCTATCCTACCAGTGTCCTGCAGAAGACAATGCTGCATATTTCAAGGATAGTAATGCTCCAGAATTTCCTCTTCTCCCAGTCCATGGCTATTCATTTAAGAGCGATTACACATTAAAACCAACATATGCCCAATCTGTTCACATGGAGAGTATAAAGGTTTCAGAAGCATTGGCAACTGCCATTGAGTCCGAGACCAGGGGCCAGTCGAACAGCCCAGTGTGGTTTGAATCTCGCCACCCTAGACTGACTGCTAGTCGGTTCAGGGAAGCCTGTCATGTACGTGGTGAGTCAGCAGCAAAATCATTAGCCACTCGCATGATAAAAGGAAACATTCAAACAGCTGCTATGAGAAGAGGTCTTCAGTTGGAGGCTGGCATATTGAGGTATTATGCTGAAAATAGAAATGTGTTTATCTACCCATGCGGCTTCATTGTGCACCCAGATGCCCCTCACCTTGGTGCCAGCCCTGATGGCAAGGTTTATGGCCCCAGTGAAAATCCACCTTTTGGTCTTGTGGAAGTTAAGAGCTGCAACACCAACACAATTGCTGAGGTAAAACACCTACTGAAGGATTTGTCCATCAAAAAAAGCCACAAGTACTACTGGCAGGTTCAAGGTCAACTGGCGGTCAGTGGCCTTGAGTGGTGTGACTTTGTGACAGACACATACACTCAAGTCACAATTCACAGGATCTAGAGAGATGAAGATACAATCATTGCTATGAGGGAGCTACTTGACAAATTCTATTTTGAAACGTTTATAAATGTTCTATTGGCAGAGAAGTGAACACAGTTAGAGCATCCATCATTTCATCACTCCTGTTCAGTGTTGGAGTAAGTGAATAAAGGTAGTTTAATTTGAGTGCAATTACTGTAGTTACTTTGTATATTACAATACCTAATAATTTGTTTCATATCACGTGTATTTCTGTAACCATTCTGTTATAAGTTCATTCTGATATAAAGAGTTGATTATTTTGCAAACATTGATTTTCTGAAGTAAAAGAAGTTTATTTACTCCACAGCTTTCATGAATCTATTCATGGTGTTTATATACAACATTCAATATTGATCAGACAGCAATGGCAATCGATTAAAGTCAAATACAGTAAACTCAAAGTTCTGTTGCACGAGTATATTTACATTTCATTTTATTCATGCTTTTTTTTTTAAAGAAAATCTTAACATACAAAACAAGACGCAATGAAAGTATGAATCAACAGACAATACAGATGGTGACATGCAGATCAGATTCAAAGAGATTCAAGATACATAGAGAACATGGATTACCTAAAACAATTAACTTTTTAAATCCTTCCACTTACTATTGCGATGCTGATCAACTGAAGTTTAAGTCTAACTACAGTGGTGTAAAATACATGTTATTCTTGATTGCCAAAGTTAGACAAAACAAAAAACATTTAAAATTATATAAGTATAGAACATTACACTGGCTTGTCATGTTTAATATCCAAAGGTCCTTGGTAGTGTGTTAGCAAGCAACAAACTGCCCAAAGCTGGTTGATGGTGCCAGTCAAGGAGAGGGGCACAACGCTATCCCAGATATGGTACTCCTTCACTCTGTGTATTGCCCTCTCCACGAGCACTCTGAGACGAGCAATTGCTTGGGTTTTATGGGCATCAGCAACAGAGAGTTGGGATGTGGTTTTGAAAGGTGGAATGATTAAGTGTGCACCAATTTGTGACAACTCTTCCTCAATGACAAAACCCTTGTCAGCCATGACTCCATCTCCATAGGAGAGCAGTTGCAATAGACCACATCTCATAGTAATTTCTTTGTCCGAAATTGAGCCAGTGTACAGCTTTGACATAAATGTAACAACTCCACAGGGAGCGATACCAATCAAGTCCTTGAAAGTGTTGTTGTTTTTATAGGTCGAAAATGTTTCCGATTGTAAGGTAAGGGAGGCTGGTATCTCACAACGCACTTCAGTACAGTCCACAATCACACGCACATTGGGGCAGTACTGGCGAAATTTGTCTGGCATTGTAGCTTGTACCTGTGCTCTCGTCATCCAAACTGGCTCTGCTCCAAGAACTTGAAACAGGTAGTTTGCCCAAGTGATGACAACACGACTCACTGTCGAGACACTGATGTCAAAGATAGAAGCCAGTACTTTTTCTTTCAGTCCTGCAGCAATGCGACAAAGGAAAAGAAAACATTCATCTATCAGAGGGAGTTTGCGTTGAAGGGCAGGACCCTGTGCCATGCTCTGTGCCCTTGTCCAGTAGACCATCCTAGAAGCAGATGGCTGCAGAGTTTCCCAAAACGCTATGAAGACTTCCTCCAATGGGAATTGGGTGTAGAAACGGAAATCGCTGTCAGAGGCACAAAAGCGGTGGCACTTAGGTTGCTTTAGTTGTAGGGTCATCTCTGTCCGTTGTAATTGTAGTTGCTGCAGTTGCGACTCCAGCCTCTGATTTTCTTCTGCCAGTGCATCAATGAATCCTTAGAAAAACAAGTACAATCAGATTTAAGTCAGGAGAAAATCATAAAATATATAAAACTTTATTTATATAGCTCTTTTCATACAAATTGTGACACACAGGCACACACACAGCTAATGAAAAAAGTAATGTTTAGCTATGGCAATAACTATTAAGATGAAGAGATCCTTTATTCGTCCCACAGTGGAGAAATTTCAGTGTTGAATCACAAGTTATAGAACAGTAGGAAAGAGGAGCACACAGCACAGGATTAGTGAACAATAGCTTTACTAATTAAAATAAAGCAAAATCTCTAACTCCAGCATCAAATAACAAGTATAAAATCTCTAATAAAAAGAAGGGTAAAAGTTTTACATTTGCCTAAATAAGAGGCAAGTATAAAGTACTGTGTATTCTAGTGCAAGCAAAGTGTAGTTATATGATAGCATCTGTACATTAGCAGCTGTATGTTTACATCAGAATCATTTTTATTGCCACGTAAGAAACAGGAAGTTACAGACTTGGAGATTGCTTTGGCTCAGTGCAACAGTCAGAAAGAGAGGTAAAGGCCCTGTCCACACGAAGTCAAGCTCAGGCCTAAACGCAAAAATACTTTATCAATCCAGTGTATCGTCCATACGAGGCCGGCGTTTTGGAGGGGTGTAAACGAACATTTTTGAAAGTAGGTCCCAGAGTGGAAAGATTTCAAAACTCCGTATATGCCGCTCCGTGGTTACTGCCTCTCCGCAATGTATCTGAGACGCTTGCGTCATCGCCCCGCCTCTTGTTAAAGCACGCATGCGCCGCACTCAGAAAATAATGACAACAACAATGTAGCTTGTTGGTTTTGTAATCCAGTGCGACCCGAAGCAACAGTTCAACCTCATCGTCCGTCCATACTAATGTAGTACCAGCTCGCCCACTCGCCATGTTGTCTGTTTACAAAATTCTGCGCATGCCCAGTTCCCGTCACGGAAGTTTGGGCTTGATCCCGTCATTGCGTCACAGCGCCACCAACAGGTCTGGCATAGTTTCACAGCGTTTTCAGGCGTATTGACTACATTCATATGGACGCACACATTTACTGAGCTAACTCCGTGGATTATTACCATAGTCACCAGGAAATATAATTCAGCTTCTCTCCAGCACAAAGTGAAACTATGAAGTCTAATTGTCTTTATGCAAATCAGTCCATCACAGAGAACACAGAAACTGGATTCTACAAGGAACAAGGAAACATTTTAATAAAGAGCAAATCACAGAACTAGAACTTACCTCGAGGAAATGTTACCTTTTTCAACTGAATCTAATACAAATACATATTTGGTAAACAATATATTTTATTTGTTAACAATAGATCAATATAGTAGTAACTAGTGCTGTCCAAAATATTGCACTTTTAACTTGCGTGACCTACATTACTTGTGTTATTATTTTTTTTGCTGTGGCCACTGTTCGTCCAAAGTTATCTGTAGCACGTCCACTTTGAAATACCACCTGATGGCTAAACACACGGCTGGTGTGAACTGTCCTCCTCCGCCACGTTTTGTCAAAACCAGGCGACAATATATGGTTTTCAACAGAGACATACTGTATGGATAGTGCAACTAAGAACAAACTTATTGCAGCCGAATGGGAAGCTACTGCACGTCGGGCGTCAACATTGTGGAGGACGAGGGTCTAACTGAAATAATTCATGTTATACATTGGTTTGTTTTGCATCAAGTGTTTTGCATCAAGTGTTTGGGTCGAGATACTGAAGCAAATGCTCTTTATGAAAATCAGTTAATATCAGAAAACACAGTCACGTGATTTTACAAGGAACAAGGAAACAATGTAAAACAAACCAACTCCCGACACAGGAATTTACCTTTGAGGAAATGTTAGCGAGAACAACACTGTTGGTACTTTCCCAAATACAAATACACATTTGGTAACCACACGGCCATGTGAAAAAGGTTAAATCAGCCGGAGACATTCTCTAAAACACAATCCACTAAAGCAGAGGTGTCACACTCATTTTGCTCAGGGCTCAAATGTAAAAACATAAGAGCGTGTGTGGTTTTCTTGTATTATCATTTTTGGATTGGTTTTGCATTCCACTAGAACTGGGCCGAATGTCAAGAAGTGATGTATTTAAAGGCTGATTTAAAGTTAAATATGAAAATAATTATTTAAAAAACTATGTTAGAACATATTCAATAATGTGGGTATTTTTGGCTAGTCTTTAAAATAAAGTATAACATGCTATAGTAGCTCATTACCATCAAATTACTGTGATAAAAATCCTCAAAAACTCTAAAAATTATCTTTTTGGCTGAATTTGACCCACATGTCTGAGCTTGACAGAGCTGCACTGAAGACTGCACAGAAATGTCCCAGATCATCTTTAGACCCTTCTGCATCAGAGAGGAACCACTCAAACTAAATGAATAAATACTCACTGAGATATCGTAGAGTATGGAGTATGTTTTTAAATGTAGCACAGTGACATCACTTATACTAATAATAAACATATTGCTTGTGCCCATATATGGAAAGTGAAAGTGTTGCTATATAACATGCAGCTGGCTCCACTCTGTGTCACTGTAGCTGCGGCGGCACCAGACACTTCACAACAATGGTAAGTATTAGTCTTCTCTTCAAACCCCTTTAACCCATTGACTGTGTAGATGGACGATGCTCCTATTGGCTTTGGGAAGTAAACTGCTCTAGCTCAGAAACTGTCAGTCACTATTGTGGGATTAAAAATATGTGTGTTTATATTCTTAGAACTGTTACATGTGTCCATCTTTAACTTACAGCTATTTCATAATAATACATTTGGTAAAAGTACAATTTTGTAAACACATTTGTGACGTCTTCAGCATGGAGCCCTGAGAGTCAGTATTTGACCCTTTGGGCTGAGGGACAGTGGTCCTCCCTTCAGTTAAAGCTGATCTAAAGATATGGAACAAAAATACTTGTACGTGAAAAGCTGTAACGAGAATTTCAGACCTGTGCCTGCTGTGACGCTGATCTGCTTGAGTCCACCTTTACTCCATAATTCTGATGCCAGGAGATAATACACCGCATCAATCACTGCAAACACATGATGCTGAATAATGACCGGATAAAAACTCAAACTGTTTAGGAAAGAATCTATTTACAGCTTTATTACATATTTGGGGGGTTGAAAGTTAGGAACCCCAGCTTTAAACAGGTATTTACCAAACTATTATCATTCATGTCACAGGTCATAGTTTCCAGCTCTGCTTTTAACTTTTAATGAACAGAAAAATCCTTTTTCACAGTGGAGCTGGTGTTGCAGTCATTAAACCAATGTCACAGAAGGAAAACAAAATGTCTGTGAGAAAGTCCAACAGGAAGGAGAACAAGGAAGAGGACGAGGAGGAGGACTGTACGGACTCTAACTATGGTACAGTTCTGCTTCCAATACTTCTTTCCCTTTTCTTAAACTTGGTTTCATTATAATCTTTAGTTTAGGAGGTGCAAATGATTCATTCATGAAAATCTTTGGTCACAACAGAAAAGGAGAGACGCTGGAGTGGATTTAATGTTTTTTGTTAAAATGTAGAAAAATAAAAAATTCTGTAAATAGATCCAAACTGCAGAAACACATTTCACAGAAAAAAAACAGACAGTTTACAAAGTGCAGGCACAAAGACAAAAAAGTATATATATATATATATATATATATATATATATATATATATATATATATATATATATATATATATATATATATATATATATATATATATATATATTATACTCACTACTGTCTCCTTTACCTTCAGACTCTCTCACTTCTGTCTCCTTTACCTTCAGACCCTCTCCATCTCTTCTCTGAGCCTTTTGTATTTCTTGAGCTTGTTGTGCTATTTTTTCCCCTTATGTTACTGAAACACTTATTTACGGTCTCTGGCTTTATGTGGTCCCAGTGGACTCTGCGTTGTGTTCTTTGGGAATGAATGGCTGAGGTGTGGTGCGAGGAGTAGGAGCACAGCAGACACAAACATTCTTTTGATTGTGGAAGTGCAGATTTTTGTATGTTGTTGTGCCTCATAGAACCTTGCGGAGTGAGGGCAGAACAAAGAGCGATAATTAGTAATTATCTATTAGAAAATCCACTATTTATGCTCTATATAATATGAAACAAAAAGCACATCAGACAGAAGCACAACACTGCTGCACCTCATGTCTTGCTAGCTTCAGTTCAAGTGTAAATAAAATAACAAATCTAAAACTCCTGATCATAAATATTGTGACCACAATGCAGATAAATTAACATCATACAAAACATTAAATTGCTTTAACATGTAGATTACAAGTTTTAAAGATGACACATATGGAAAATATTCATAACAACAAAACATTGCGTACTTTAAAGAGTAAGGGAAAACAAAGAGGGTAGATGACATATTTCGCTGCCTCTGACGGTGGCTGACACAGAACATAATAAGAATAACAATAATAATACATCAAACTCGTATTGCGCTTTTTTGGACACTCAAAGACGCTTCACATGGAGAAAAAAATAAAATAGAATAAAAATTTATTGGGGTTTACGAAAAAGATTGTTTGAACGGATGGATTTTGAGATTTAAAGTTTGGGTGTGAGTCAGAGGTTCTAATGGGAGAGAGGAGGTTAGTGCGGGTGATGGGAGTCAGATGGTTAGTGCGGGTGATGGGAGTGAGATGGTTAGTGCGGGTGATGGGAGTGAGATGGTTAGTGCGGGTGATGGGAGTGAGGAGGTTAGTGTGGGTGATGGGAGTGAGGAGGTTTGTGCGGGTGATGGGAGTGAGATGGTTAGTGTGGGTGATGGGAGTGAGATGGTTAGTGCGGGTGATGGGAGGGAGATGGTTAGTGCGGGTGATGGGAGTGAGATGGTTAGTGCGGGTGATGGGAGTGAGGAGGTTAGTGCGGGTGATGGGAGTGAGGAGGTTAGTGCGGGTGATGGGAGTGAGATGGTTAGTGTGGGTGATGGGAGTGAGATGGTTAGTGCGGGTGATGGGAGTCAGATGGTTAGTGCGGGTGATGGGAGTGAGATGGTTAGTGCGGGTGATGGGAGTGAGATGGTTAGTGCGGGTGATGGGAGTGAGATGGTTAGTGCGGGTGATGGGAGTGAGATGGTTAGTGCGGGTGATGGGAGTGAGATGGTTAGTGCGGGTGATGGGAGTGAGATGGTTAGTGCGGGTGATGGGAGGGAGATGGTTAGTGCGGGTGATGGGAGTGAGATGGTTAGTGCGGGTGATGGGAGTGAGGAGGTTAGTGCGGGTGATGGGAGTGAGGAGGTTAGTGCGGGTGATGGGAGTGAGATGGTTAGTGTGGGTGATGGGAGTGAGATGGTTAGTGCGGGTGATGGGAGTGAGATGGTTAGTGCGGGTGATGGGAGTGAGATGGTTAGTGTGGGTGATGGGAGTGAGGAGGTTAGTGCGGGTGATGGGAGTGAGATGGTTAGTGCGGGTGATGGGAGTCAGATGGTTAGTGTGGGTGATGGGAGTGAGATGGTTAGTGCGGGTGATGGGAGTGAGGAGGTTAGTGCGGGTGATGGGAGTGAGATGGTTAGTGCGGGTGATGGGAGTCAGATGGTTAGTGCGGGTGATGGGAGTGAGATGGTTAGTGTGGGTGATGGGAGTGGGATGGTTAGTGCGGGTGTTGGGAGTCAGATGGTTAGTGCGGGTGATGGGAGTGAGATGGTTAGTGCGGGTGATGGGAGTGAGATGGTTAGTGCGGGTGATGGGAGTCAGATGGTTAGTGCGGGTGATGGGAGTGAGATGGTTAGTGTGGGTGATGGGAGTCAGATGGTTAGTGCGGGTGATATGAGTGAGATGGTTAGTGCGGGTGATGGGAGTGAGATGGTTAGTGCGGGTGATGGGAGTGAGATGGTTAGTGCGGGTGATGGGAGTGAGATGGTTAGTGCGGGTGATGGGAGTGAGATGGTTAGTGCGGATGATATGAGTGAGATGGTTAGTGCGGGTGATGGGAGTGAGATGGTTAGTGCGGGTGATGGGAGTGAGATGGTTAGTGCGGGTGATGGGAGTGAGATGGTTAGTGCGGGTGATGGGAGTGAGATGGTTAGTGCGGGTGATGGGAGTGAGACTGTGAGTGCAGGTAATGGGAGAGAGGCTGGAGTCGGCTGAGCGAAGGCGGTGGTTGGGTTGGTGTTGTTGTAGGAGCTCAGTGAGTTAGGGGACGTGGCCAGGTTATGGAGGGACTTGTAGGTGAGGAAAAGGAGCTTGTAATGGATATTGAACGGGGAGCCAGTGGAGCTGCTGCAGGACAGGGGTGATGTGTTCTCTGGACCAGGTGCGGGTGAGGAGGCGGGCTGCAGAGAACTGGATGTAGGGGTGGGCTATATAGCCTAAAATTCATATTGCGGTATAATTTGGGACACAAACGGTAGACGGTATAATTTGGTGTGTGAATTTCAATATAGGTCTAGCAGGTTCTTGCATAAAATAGTCAAGATTGTTACTTATTTATATATTAGAATCTAATATATATATTTTTTGAGTTATTCAGTTGTGAGACGAATAAAGAGACAAATGTTGTAACATACATTATTTATGTATGTTACAGTAAATACCATTCACTGTAAAAGCAATTTTTAAAAAGAAAAACATATGCATTCATTTAAAATATAAAAAACTCACAAATGTTGAAATCAAAGTCTGTAGGAGTTAGACATGGTCATTATTTATAGTGTCTGAGAGTTTTGTGCAGGTACGTGGCTTCAGTAAAAGCTATTGTTCGTTTACAAAGCTGGTCTTGCCATTTGTTGACGCTCCCTAAGCGCTTTTCTCTGCGCTTGCAGTGAATTAATAGTTACCTAATGTAACTTAAGTTCTACGAATAGGTGCGTAGTCCCTTAGGACTTCGCTAGTGGGATATCACTCGTGACCCCCAGGTCATACGCCAGAGAGATCAAAATAATTTGCTCCAATCACCAGCCACCCTCCTCTATGAAGGCCCCTGCACAAGGCCGCACCCCCTCTTGGCTGCTAGGGGCTTTGGCCACTCACGTGTCGCGTAATGGACGAACGGGTCCATCCGCGGGCACAACGTGGGTTGCATCCTCCTCCTTCCTCGAGTGGTGGCACCCACAGAGGTGAATTCCTCCACCGTCTGGATCCAGCGACGACGTCCGACGCCGGAGGGCGAAAGGAACTCAGACGAACAAGGAAGACATCTCAGAATGAAGTAAGTACTGTGGTAGATCTCAAACGGCACCAGAGTGAAAGAGGGGGTGCGGCCTTGTGCAGGGGCCTTTATAGAGGAGGGTGGCTGGTGATTGGAGCAAATTATTTTGATCTCTCTGGCGTGTGACCTGGGGGTCACGAGTGATATCCCACTAGCGAAGTCCTAAGGGACGTAGCACCATGACATAGAACTGGATGATTCAATGGATTTATGTTCATTAAAACAGCACATTGGATTTGAACAATTGATGTAAATGATCATTTTGGCACATTAATTTTGTTTAACAAAGTAGCTTTTGTGAGATATTGACCACGGAGGTCCGAATCTGACGCTAACTTTCTATGGATCTATTTTGGCTCACGCTGGCGCTTCGAGCCTACGCCCCTTTGACACTGATTGGCCAAAAGGTAGACGCTTAAACTGTGATTACTGTGTGTGTATTTACCTCTGCTGGGGCCGCTGTGACAAAAATACAGAGACAGAAACACGGTGTTAATGCCGTGCTGTTGTTCGTTGTTTCCAGTTGTGTCTGTTAGGCTAATAGTGCTAGGTTAATGCTTCTGAATGCCGGTTTGTTTTGGTCCTTTCTGCTGGCGTCAGAGCCTATGCGCAATCTGATGACATAATGACCTATTGCAATATGCCGGTGAATACAAGTCTGTCCATGTTGAACTGGCACTTTTCTGGGTTTAGTGTCAATCCACAGTCAGAAAGTCTCTTCATGACAGCATGCAAGCTATTGTCATGTGTTTCCTGGTCCGGTGCGTGTATTATCACGTCATCTGAGATGTTCTCCACTCCTTCAATGCCTGTCAGTGCATTAGCAACCTCGTGTTGGTATTGTTCACTGGCTGACGAGACTCCAAATATCAGTCTTTTGTATCTGTAAACTCCATTCTGCAAATGTTGTGATCTCTGGACTCTGGGGTTAGCTCCAACTGATGGTAGCCCCACTTGAGATCTAGCTTGCTGAAGATTGCAGAGCCGTTTAGTCCTTGAAGTATTTCATCCACTGTGGGAATAGGGTATATTTCTCTGACTATTGCCTCATTTGCTTTTCTCATATCTAAACACATTCGGATATCTTTATCACATTTCTTTGGGAGTACCACTACAGGATTTACCCATGGTGTAGGTCCTTCTACACGCTCTACAATGTCCATGTCAATCAGTTCGTTTATCTTTTTCTCCACCGCATCCTGTAAATGGTAGGGTATGCGCCTTAGTGGTTGTGCAACTGGTTTCACATTTGGGTCAATATACAGACTTATCTGTTTAGTGTTTAGTTTCCCTACTCCTGTAAACACTTTTGGGTACTGCTCTTTAAAGTGGACATATCGTGTTTTCAAATAATTGATTTTTACATCTAAATCATTAATTTGTGGCCTATATAAAGCGTAACTGCAATGCCTGGGTCTGAGTCTCATTATTTGTCCTTTCTTCTACACCTGTTCTGAGGTGCGTCTGAGAGCAACCTGTTTTGGTGCTGTCTCTTGTGGTGTGCCAGAAGCGGTTCTTTCTGTTGCTGATATCGGAGCTTTTGACATATGTCGCACCGCTTTATGTAGTTATCAATGTCTCATGTTCATGTACGGCCAGTACAATAAAGCTCTCACGCGTCTTCTGCACTTTTCTATCCCTAAATGTCCCTCATGCGTGAGTTGAAGCATTTCTGAACGCATTTCCATTGGCACGACTATGCGCTTGCCTTTGAGAAGAACTCCTTGTACCACAGATAGTTCCTCTTTGAAGCTTTGGTATGGGTGAATCAGCTGCTGATCACCCGTTTGGTGAATCTTCTTGACCACATTTTGCATCTCACAGTCTTTAGCTGTAGCTTCTGCTATTTGTTTCCATTTGATGTCAGACACAGGCATGTGCTTTTGAATTGTGTCCACATGCACCTGCACATCATATTCTGTATTGTTTGGGTCTGTACAGTTCAGGGAAGCTCAACTGAGTGCATCCGCCATAATAAGATGTTTACCTGGTGTAGCGGCAGGAAGTTTGTCCCTTCCTGGCTACCATACACTACTGCACCTGGCACACATGCCCCTCCCCTCACATTTCCGTATTGGCTCAGTAGCGATCAGCAACAGTACCTATAGACACCCCAGTGCACAGGAAGGTAAGCGGCTGTCAGGCTTCACTCGTTCTGCCAGATCTCGAGTAGCTGCCAGGTAGGTGTTCCCTGTTGTTGTAGTACGATGTCAGCCGTAGGTTAATGTGAGTGTTTCTTTCTTCCGACGCTGTTTAGCAGCCTGCTACCACGGCCACTGGTTAAAAGTCGTGCGTGGCCATGTCTCCTTACTAACTTTGTACATAGTGCTCATGGTATTATACACTGTTGTGCTCTTTTGTTTGTTTGTGTAGTTATGTGGCATGAAACTAATAGCCATTTGTTTCATAGATGCTGTTGGCCACTGCTGTTTTGTTTGGGTTTTCATTTAAGTAGTGTTTCTTGTTTTGGTTTTTGTCTTTTTTATTTAGTTTTATCATTTACTTAGCTATGCCTTAAACAAAATTATTCTATTTACTTTTCCTTTCGTTTTGTTCTCTGTTACCCATTTTTGCCCCTAAGATCTGCATTTCTTCCCCTAAGGTCTGGTCCGGGCGTGGTCGTCGCTGGTGGAGGTTTGGTGGCAGAGTCTCACGTCAGTCCTCCTCACTCGTATGTTGTGGTATTGTTGCACGCCCTCACTTTCACGTTTCTTTAGTTTCCCTTTGTGTGTGTGTGTGTGTGTGTGTGTGTGTGTGCGTGTGAGTGTTCACGGAGCTGCAGTGGGTGCTCTGGCCCATGTGCTTCTGTCGTGTGCGGCTGCGACCGACCTACCTAATTAATGCAGTTTTATCTCTAACTAATTGGCTTTTAAATACCCTTTTTAACTAGCTTTTTGTGATTAACAAATATTGTTAAACTTTTATCCTTGCCTCTGCCTCATTTCCATCGCCATTTGCATTCCTGAACCTAAGGTAACTAGGTACGGTTACATTCTGGCGTTGCTGGCTAAGGATTGCTGTGGTGATGAGTGAGTGACTCTAGGTTTAGATAAAACATTTTTTTATTACTGTTTAAAACCCAAGCAAACAGCAGTGGGCGCTTCGAGGGATCTGCTGCCCCAGAACAATCGTCCTCCCTTCTCAGACGTGTCTACGTGCTCTACCTGCCCACCTCTCTATTCAACCATGACTACGGAACTGCAAGAGCTGAGGGACCAGCTGGCACAGCTCCAATCTGAAAATGTGCGGCTCCAGGAGAGGCTTGCTGTTCGTGAAACTCCTGCAGACTCTGGTGCCTCCACTTCCACAGACTCTGGGACTACTAGCTCTCGACACCGCACTAATGGCTCACCAGCTGAACGTGTGTTATACATTCCCAGAGAAAGAAAGTGTCCATCATTTAGGGGCATTACTGGAATTCCTGTGGAGGACTGGGTTGAAGAGATGAGGGCTACTCTGAGAACCAGATGCCTGCAGCCTGTGGACCAAGCTTACTTTATGTATGACCATCTTGAGGGGGAGGCTAAGGATGAGATAAGGTACCGGCCTAGAGCAGACAGAGAGGACCCAGAGAAAATGTTTAACATTTTGCAAGAGTTGTATGGGTGTAGCAGATCGTATGTCTCATTACAGCAAGCATTTTTCTCAAGGAGGCAGCAGGAAGGGGAATTGCTACAGGAATTTTCACACGCATTGTGTTGCCTTATGGAGAAGGTCGAGCGAAGTGCCCCACAGTCTATGCCTGATGCCCCCAATCTCCTCCGCGATCAGTTTGTGGAGCATGTGTTGGATCCACATCTTCGCAGGGAGTTAAAGAGATTAGTGAGGCAGTGCCCCACGCATACCTTGATTGAGGTGGGAGCAGATGCTATTAGGTGGGAACGGGAAGGAAGGTCTGAGGAACCCCGGGCCCGAAGCTACTCAGTACCCTCAATTAGTTCAATGCACTACCCTAACACACGTGCACCTTCTACCAGTGCCAGCTCGGAGTTTAGGGAATTGCTGCAACTGTTTGAGAAACAGCAAGAGCAGCTTAACCAGTTGGCTCTAGGCCTCCAAGCATTACAGACTTCTGCACGTCCCCCAGGTAGAACAGCTTGGCCATTTTGCTAGAGATTGTAATATTGAACGTGTGCCCTCCCAGCCTAGAGCCCCACATATGGGGGCAGTGACAGCAGCCCAGGAGGTGGGAAACTGCAACCCCCTGATGTGAGGAGCCAAACGTCAGGAGGGGAGGGCACCGGCTCATCAACCCACAGGGCAGCACAAGAGCAAGCGGCCCAAAATCTCATTGCCCCATGTCCTAAGGTAACTGCCAAGCTTGGTGATGTTACAGCAAACTTTTTGTTGGATACAGGGTCTATGGTCTCCACTGTTTATGAGGGTTTCTTTTATCAACATTTCCACACTGTCCCTAGGCCCTGTAATTGGCTTGAGCTCACTGCAGCCAATGGCATTGATATTCCCTATGTTGGTTACGTCGAGTTAGACGTCAATATATTTGGTATGGTAGTTCCGCAGCGGGGTATCTTGGTGGTCAAGGAGCCGTTCAGACAGCAAGCTTCAGATGGGGTAAAGGGTGTGATAGGCGTGAATGTGATTAAGGAGTGTTACTACCAGTTGTTCAGCCAACATGGGTCACACGTTTTTGATCTCCCTGAGATACGCCTTGCACCCCCGCTCTGGCAGCGGGCGTTACAGCACTGTCACCAAATGGAGTCCCAGACTCTCCAGCCAGAGAGGGGAGTGAGTGAGAGGTAGGCGCTCGGTGATAGTTCCAGGGGGGAAAATTAAGTGGGTTGCCGCTACCTGTTCGTCTCATTTTTTTCGGTCCTCAGGCACAGCGTTACTCGAGCCCTTAGATGATTGCCAGTCTCTTCAACAGGGTCTGCTAATCTCACCGGCTATGGTCAACATCCACCAAGGTACAGTTTATGTCCCAGTGGTGAATGTAGGGACAGACAACCTAGTGTTACACCCTCGGCAGCCTATTGGTATTATAAGCAAAGCTGAAGTTGTTAGTCTCCCCGACAGCGTGTCGCTTACTAAGAGACAGCCAGCTGGTGATTCGGTCACAGTCTCCTCCCAGGCGGGAACAACTAGTTCAATTACAGAACAGATAAATGCCCTTGATTTGTCTCATTTGGCTGGACCAGAGCAGCAGAGGGTAAAGTCACTCCTGTTGCAGCATAAAGGTGTATTTGCTACATCAGACCTAGATTTAGGCTGCACTAGTCTCATTACTCATGACATACCGCTTAATGACGATGTCCCAATCAGGCAGCGATATAGACGCATACCCCCATCAGACTATGACGAGGTTCGTGCCCACATACGAAAGCTGTTGGACAGTCAGGTCATGCAGGAAAGTTGCAGCCCATATGCCTCCCCTATCGTTCTGGTTAGGAAAAAGGACGGAAGCTTGCGACTGTGCGTGAATTACAGGCTCTTAAATGGCAAGACCAGAAAAGAGGCCTTTCCCTTGCCACGAATCGAAGAGACTTTAGATTCATTATCTGGGGCCAAGTGGTTTTCCACAATTGACTTGGCAAGCGGGTACCACCAAGTAGCAGTCACGGAAAAGGACAAGCCGAAAACAGCGTTTTGCATTCCCTTCGGCCTCTTTGAGTTCCAGCGAATGCCTTTTGGGCTATGTAACGCCCCCAGTACATTTCAGAGGCTGATGGAGCGAATGTTTGGGGACCAAAATTGCTATTCATTGCTCCTGTATCTGGATGATGTGATCGTTTTCTCACCCACAGTAGAGGAACACGTGACCAGATTGGACCTGGTTCTCCGGTGGTTCAGCAGAGAGTCTCTGAAAATAAAACTGAGTAAATGTCAATTCCTCCAGCAGCAAGTTAGCTATCTGGGACATGTTGTGTCGGCATCCGGGGTTGCCACTGACCCAAAGAAGACTGCAGCTGTAGCAGAGTGGATCAGGCCGGATACTGTAACAGAATTAAGGTCATTTCTTGGTTTTGCCAGTTATTACAGGCGATTTGTGGAGGGTTTCGCAAAACTGACTGCTTCCCTACACAAGTTGGTAGCACAACTCTCAGGGAAGAAAAACTACCGGGGCAGGAGAGAGCGCCTCGCTGACGCCTGGACTCCCCAGTGCGAAGAGAGCTTCCAAGCACTAAAAAGAAGGTTAGTCTCTGCACCAGTCCTGGCCTATGCTAACTTTCAGCTTCCTTTCATTTTAGAAGTGGATGCCAGTCACGAGGGTCTGGGTGCTGTCCTGTCCCAAGAGGAGGAGGGGAGGATCCAGCCTATAGCCTATGCCAGTCGCAGCCTGAATCCAGCAGAGTGAAACTACAGTTCCATGAAGCTGGAGTTTTTGGCTATGAAATGGGCAATGGCGGAACGGTTCAGGGAATATTTACTTGGACATAGGTGCGTGGTCTGTACTGATAACAACCCGCTCAGCTACCTGAACACAGCTAAATTAGGAGCCACAGAACAGCGCTGGGTGGCTAAGCTGTCAGTTTTTGACTACACTGTAAAATACCGGCCTGGCAGAACAAATCAAAATGCGGATGCGCTATCTCGTCAGTCCCAACCTCCTGATCTGCCCACTCCAGCACGCCCAGGGACTCCTCTTCCGAACGAGGTGCAACTGGCCATAAAATGCACCAGTGTGGCTACTCAATGCGCTATGTCAGTCATCCCTGAGAGGTCAACAGATGACCTGAAGGTGTTGCAGCAGGCCGATCCAGCTATCGCCCCGGTGTTGGCCTTTATACAGCGGCAGTGTGCCCCAGGAAGAATGGAGAGGGAGGCACTTGACCCTGCGGCCAGAAGGTTGCTCCGTGATTGGGACAATCTAGTGCTCCGGGATGAACTACTACATCGTGCCTGTCAACGTCCTGATGGGGGCGAAGTGTTCTTCCAACTAGTGCTACCCGAAACCCTCAGATCAGAGGTTTTTACACAGCTCCATACATTCCATAGCCACCAAGGAGCAGAGCGAACTACAGAACTAATTCGGCAAAGGTGCTATTGGCCAGGCATGGGCGAGACTATCAGGGAGTGGTGTCAGAGGTGCGAGCGCTGCTCTCTGGCAAGGGACACTCAGCCCCAGGTACGAGCGCCTATGAGACATTTATTGGCATCAAAACCAAACGAGATCTTAGCGATTGACTTCTCATTACTAGAACCCTCTCGGGATGGACGAGAACTTGTGTTGGTAATGACTGATGTGTTCTCTAAGTTTACCCAGGTTTTTCCTACCCGCGACCAGAGGGCGACTACAGTAGCACAAACATTGGTCAAAGAGTGGTTTTATAAGTATGGAGTTCCTGCCAGACTACACTCTGACCAGGGTCGTAGCTTTGAAAATGCATTGATACACCAATTGTGTGAGATGTACGGAATAAAAAAATCTAGGACCACCCCTTAACACCCGCAGGGGAATGGCCAATGCGAACGCACTCTGCACAATCTCCTCCGTACTCTTTCTGCAGAACAGAAGCTGGGTTGGCCTGAGTACTTGCCACAAGTACTTTTCAGCTACAACACTACCCCACATCAAACTACTGGACATTCACCTTTCCTCCTCATGTTTGGCCGGGAACCTCAGCTTCCAGTGGATTTTCTCCTGGGAAGGGTCAACGAGCCTGTTGCAGGGGAAGTCTGCCCTTGGATAGAGGAGCATCGGCATAGATTGCAAGTAGCAGCTGATAATGCCCGTGAGCGGATGTGGGCAGCTGCAGCACAGAGGAAAGAGAGGGCGGACAAGCGGGCGACGGAGGATGTGGTGCCCGCAGGACAGAAGGTGTACCTACGTGACCACTCGCACCGAGGGCGGAGTAAAATTCAGGATGCCTGGGCCCCTGATGTATTCATTGTGGTAGGGTCCCCAAGCCCTGGCCAATCTGTGTATGCAGTTGCCCGTGAAGACCAGCCTGCACAGGTACGCTATGTACACAGGAATATGCTTAAACCGATACCCTGCAGTCTTTCCCCCCCTTTCGCTGACAGGCCTGCCCCAAGTAACCGGAGCCCCGAGCTGTCCGAAACCGGGGAGTGGGCCGCAGATGGCCTCTGGGTGGTGAGTCGAGAGCCAGATGTACTTGCGCATCCAGTCCAGGCTGACGACCCTGCTGTTTGGCCACCAGCCCCACTAGCGGTCAGCTCCGCCCCCGGGTCACGGGTTGGACTCCTACCAGCCCCACGTACGGTCAGCCCTGCCCCCAGCTCACGGTTTGGACCACCACCAAGACGCTCTACCCGTCAGACAGCCGGCCAGCACCCTAACCCTAATAGCCTGCCAACAAGCGTGCAAAGTAGGGCTAGTAGGGCTGCAACTTTCCATTAGGTTTGAAATTGTTGGGACACCAATTTAAAAAACCCGGGGGTAGATGTAGCGGCAGGAAGTTTGTCCCTTCCTGGCTACCATACACTACTGCACCCGGCACACATGCCCCTCCCCTCACATTTCCGTATTGGCTCAGTAGCGATCAGCAACAGTACTTATAGACACTCCAGCCACTGCTGTTTTGTTTGGGTTTTCATTTAAGTAGTGTTTCTTGTTTTGGTTTTTGTCTTTTTTTTAGGGCTGTCAAACGATTAATTTTTTAAATCGAGTTAATTACAGCTTAAAATTAATTAATCGTAATTAATCGCATTTCAAACTATTGGCAAAATTATGTTATATTTTTCTGTAAATGGTTGTTTGAATGGAAAGATAAATGACAGCTTAGTGAACATATGTACTGTATTTGTTTGTTATAACAATAAATCCATATAAAAGGGAATTAACATTATTTCTGTCTTTCTATTTAGACCAAAACCATTGTTTGTTACAGATGAGGGACATTTCAAAACAGTCTGAAATGCAGAATGTCATTAAATCTGTTTGATTTGCTCACAACATTACTTTTTTGGCACAACTAACATGAACTGGTAGTCGAAAGGAAATTTAGGTACCTCAGCTTTAATTTAGCGAGTGCGCTTTGGGAGAAGACACGAAGGAGACTGAGGCTCCGCAGTCCAGCTTCAGCGCTGTAGATATTGTGTGCATCGGTTATGCAAAGACACGTATGCACACTAGAGAATAGTTCTGTAATAGTTCTGTGCGTGGTCTTGGATATGATCCCATTACGCAGGGCCGTTCGCCGTGATCACAGCCGCTGGAAGTGGTGCTGCTGTCCAGAGCACTGTGGCGCCCGCAGCTCATCATGCACAGTTCATACAGGAAACAACAAGTGCTTCGCGGTCACGCGTGTATTCTTTCAAAACTTGAATTCCCAGAGGGCCTACCTGCTCTGTCCCCATCTTACACACGCGCATTTGTCCGCTGCATTCTGAGTGATATTATGGGACGCATGGGCATGCGTCAAATGCGTTAATTTTTTAAACGCGATTAATGAAAACAATTAATTAACGTGCGTTAACGCGATAATTTTGACAGCCCTACTTTTTTTATTTCGTTTTATCATTTACTTAGCTATGCCTTAAACAAAATTATTCTATTTACTTTTCCTTTCGTTTTGTTCTCCGTTACCCATTTTTGCCCCTAAGATCTGCATTTCTTCCCCTAAGGTCTGGTCCGGGCGTGGTCGTCGCTGGTGGAGGTTTGGTGGCAGAGTCTCACGTCAGTCCCCCTCACTCCTCGTATGTTGTGGTATTATTGCACGCCCTCACTTTCACGTTTCTTTAGTTTCCCTTTGTGTGTGTGTGTGTGTGTGTGTGTGCGTGTGAGTGTTCACGGAGCTGCAGTGGGTGCTCTGGCCCATGTGCTTCTGTCGTGTGCGGCTGCGACCGACTTACCTAATTAATGCAGTTTTATCTCTAACTAATTGGCTTTTAAATACCCTTTTTAACTAGCTTTTTGTGATTAACAAATATTGTTAAACTTTTATCCTTGCCTCTGCCTCATTTCCATCGCTATTTGCAATCCTTAACCTAAGGTAACTAGGTACGGTTACATTGGCATGAACTCAAACCTCAAACTGTACTTTTGTAAGCAAAGTAGTCTTTGAATTCAATGTGGTGCTTCTCTCAAAGGTTTGGTGGAGATTGCAATCAGTGGTTTGTGATCTGTTTCAAGTGTCACTTCCCGACCATAGATGTATTCATGAAACCTTTCACATCCAAACACTGCTCCAAGAGTCTCTTTTTCTATCCGCTTCCATAGACGGCAGGCTTTAGATCCAGGTCTGGGGCTGTAGATCCAGGGCTGAGGCTGTAGATCCAGGTCTGGGGCTGTAGATCGAGGACTGAGGCTGTAGATCCAGAACTGAGTATTACCTACCCAACCCTATGTAAAATTTATAATGACTTGTCTTCCGCCTGGCCTTGAATGTAGAGACTGTGTCTGCTTCCTTGACCTGGAATGGGAAGTTGATTCCACAATGAAGGAGCTTTGTGGCTATTTGCTCTGCCTTCGACTGTACTTTCTGGACTTTAGAACCACCAGACGTCTGGCATTTTGCGAGCGCAGTGCTCGGTTTGGTTGGTGTTACGGCCGCTGACAGGCAGTATAGCCTCCCCTCTCAGGTAGAAGCGACGCTCATTGGTGCGCGTGCGTCACAAACGAAGCCGCCTCTATAAATCTTGTGCACATGTCAGACATTGGTGTTGGCTCATCCTGCTCCTGATCACCTGCGTGTCCCGCCTCCTTTTGTATGGTTTGGTTTGGTTCGTCTTGGTTCGTTTTGGTTTATTTCCTACACACCATTCAACACTGCAGACATACGCTCACAGCATATACACACGCACGCACTCATTACAGACTTCCACACCTCATTAAAATATTAACTTTGTTTCTTAATAAATATTATTTCAATTGGCAACTGTGGTTTGCCGTGTTTCCGTCATTTCTACTGAGCCGGGTTATGACATTTTGTATCACACTAATGTGTCTTGGAGGTAGGAGGGAGTCATGCCATTAATGGCTTTGTATGTTTAAAGAAGGACTCTACAGAATTTAATTCTGATTTCCACAAGAAGCCATTGGAATTTAACACCGAAGGTATGTGCTCCCTCGTTTTGGTACCTGTTAAGATCCTTGCTGCTGTATTTTGAACAAGCCGGAAGCTTTTTATAGAAGATTTAGGGCATGCTGCCAGCAAAGCAGTCAAGCCTTGTGGGGACAAATGTGTCAATCATTCTAGGCAATGTGGGTGAAGTTTCTTGCCTAAGGACACAACAGCAGTTTGATACTTTACAGCAGCAGCCGCCCCACTGTTGCACCTGGTGTTCCCAGAGGTTAAGTGTCTTGCCCAAGGAAACAACAACAGCAGACATCAGTGGGAGTCGGTGGAGAAAGTCTTGTGGTGGGCTCGAACCCACAACCTTCAGGCTCAAAGGCCAATGCTCTACCAACTGAGCCACTGTCGCCCCTTACAGTGTTGCTAGGAGCAACACTATCCTTATCGAGTGTGATTTTCTGATCAGCAAGAGAGACGCTCGGATAATTGGGACTGACTGCGATTACTTAAATATTTTAAAGGTTGAGCATCAGATCATAGGGTCACTTTCTAACTGATCTGTTTTCAAAGACAGGTAAAGCTTGTCTCATCTGCAGCAGTAGAACTTAATGTCATGCTTTCTAATGATGTTGCTAAATGACAGCATTGTCCAGACAACTATTGGATGAACCAAACATAAAGAATACATTTTTATAATAACCTATTGTTTTTGCTCGATAGATGTCAAATTCTGCACTTTGAGCCTTAATTTCACCCCCTGAACATGCATAAAAAGTTGTAAAATTTTGCCCAAACATCAGACCTGGTGAAAACTTTGATATTTTGGTGTTTATTTTTATGGGACTCAAAAAATGCCAGAACAGCGCCACCTACAACAGCCAATGGGAGTTGTCTGTTGTAGTTTGTCGTAGAGCCATGAAATTCGGTACACATGTTCCTCAAGTCAAGATAAGACCAAAATGTTATCATGGCTCCGCCCTCTGACAAACAGGAGGCCCATAAATTTCACAGCAAAATGGAAAAATTATCCGCAATAATTTTCATACATGTCGGTTTGGAATCTGCTCCTCCTCGACCGTTTCACCGATTTGCCTCAAAATTGCTCCACATCATCTCAACACATGTACCTTCAAAATGAACAAAGGGATTTTTGATCAGTGAAACGTTGTTCAGTGAAATGTGAGTGTTTATTGGCACTTATAGAATGTTGTTTTTCACAACATTCTATTTGCTCCCGTTTGCACAAACAAAGTCTGATTTGCACAAAACTTGAATCCAATGTTCTACTCCAGGGTTTAGGTCCGGTGAATGTGAAATATTTGAAATTGGCTAATAGCGCTCCCTACAGATCGAGGCAAAGTTTTACATGGGGAGCCAAACAGCTCTAATCATCATATTCATTACAATTTGACTAACGTTCTTCTATGGCTACAAGAAAAATTCATCACACGGCGGCCCCACCTCCTTTGCGCGGGGCTGTGTGGTACGGTGTGGTGCGGCGTAGTGCGGGGCGTTGTGGAGCAGCGCGTTGCGGCTTGGTGCGGGGCGGCTTGGTGCGGAGTGGCTTGATGCAAGCGGCTTGGGCTTCGTGCGCGCGGTGCGGGGTGGTGCACGCGTTGCGGGGAGGGTGGTGCGTGCGGTGCGGCGAGGGTGGTTCGACGCCGCTTGCGGCTTTATTCACATTTATCTTTCTTGTTCAGAGCCTGGTCAGCCAGGAGCGTTCACAGTCAGTGACATCAGAGCTGACTGTGTGACTCTGTCCTGGGAGCCCCCTGCTGGTGAAGTGCAGAACTACTCAGTGACCTGTTCCAGCGGAGAAGATGTGGTACAAGAAGTCCAAACTGAGGAAACCAGTGTGACCATCAGAGACCTGAGGCCGGGACAGCAGTACCTGTTCTCTGTGTGTGCACAGCTCCAGAGGCTCCAGAGTGAGGCTGCAGAGACCTCCACTCACACAAGTAAGTGATTGGTCCTTTTCAACAACGCAGCAGGAACACACTGATATGTCCAGATCACAACAGTCCACTGGTCCATTAAACACTGCCCAGGGTCCTTTAGGAGGACCACCTCCTGATCCTGGTGTCCCCGTTTTGTCTGGGAGGATGTGGATCTGCTGCAGTTTGGCGAGGCCTCTTCCTCCAGAAGGGAACTCCTGTCTCAGGTGGGGGCAGCTTCTGCAGCCCGACCCCGGTCACCTGAGGCTTTGTCGCTGTAGCTTCATGTGTGGGTTTTGGAGGTTGGACTTGTTATGAGCAGCGGCGTGATGGTCCTCCCCAACACTTTTTGCGGTTCTACTGGGTGAATGTTCCTGCTCCGTACCCCCTGGAAAGGGTACTGCAGTACCCTCTTTCTATGTCGCAGTGAGGGAGGGGTCATATTGGTTGGTTCCTCATGGCCTTGCTGATATTTGTCATCCAGTGCTTACAGTTTTTCTCTATTGCTTAAACACATTTCACGATACTGCCCTCCCTTTTCTCAAAACTCTAAACACAAACCTCTTTTCTAAAGCTACGTACACACAACAACACAGTCTCTTTTCAAAACCAACCCATCACACCAAAACAGTTTCTCATATTCTCAAAACCAACCCATCACACCAAAATACCTCTCATGGTCTGCAAAAATGTGAACACTATGAGCATCATTAACCACATCACCAAAACAATTGAAAACACAATTTTCAGAATGTGAGACTGTTCTTTTTTACAGTTTCACAACTGCCAGGATGCATTTGAGCAACACTTTTTTTATTCTCAAATATGTTTTGGGCATTTACTATAGATTTGTGTGTGGGAATAGTTACATAACGCAGAAAATGCAGTTATATCAAAACTCAATGCAAACATGGGTACTGTAAATTCTATAGAGGATCCATTAGACACAATAGATACTGCAGTACAGTAACAATTGGAAACACAATAGTCCGGGTGTGTCCCTCCTCGGCCTGCTCCTCTCTCTCCTCGGCCTGCTCCTCTCCCTCCTCGGCCTGCTCCTCTCCCTCCTCGGCCTGCTCCTCTCCCTCCTCGGCCTGCTCCTCTCCCTCCTCGGCCTGCTCCTCTCCCTCCTCGGCCTGCTCCTCTCCCTCTTCGGCCTGCTCCTCTCTCTCCTCGGCCGGCTCCTCTCCCTCCTATGACACCAGGTATGTTCATTGTGTTCAGGTTTTGCTGACAGTGGGAGACATTTTTCATCACATGAGCCTCACAATGATTATAGGAGCAGAGATACATGCAAAAAGTGTTTTAGCAAAAGAAAAATGTGTTTTAGCAAAAGAAAAATGTGTTTAGAGTTTTGAGAAAAAGGGCATGTGTTTTGTGAACAGTGTCTACAGGAGAATTGTGTTTATGGTTGTGAGAAGTGGGGGGAAGTTTTAATAAATGTGTTTAGGCAATTGGTCATTTGGTTTAGAGTACTGGGTTTTGTGTTGTAGCAATAGAGAAAAACTGTAATGCACCGCCTCTCATGGTCAGGAAGGACGACTGTAACTATGATTCTGAGGAAGATGACAAAGTCCGGGGATCGTGTCTTTAATTCAGACAGAAGACATGTTTTAATGTCGATGGTAGAGACAGCACGAACAAAGATGTTACAGAATGCAAGTGATGTTGTACAGCATGGAGGAATGGAGTCCTCCAATCAGCTATAGCCACGGTGCCAATGGCTTCAACCTTGAGATACCAAAACATGCAGCGGAAAAAAACTGCCTTGTGCATATTGTCAGAATGATGAGTTAGAACTTTAACCACAGTTGCTTCAAAGTGTCATGAAATCTCTAAAGTTCTATGAATCCTGGATGACAGGCAGAGCATTCTAGTGTAGTGAGAAAGATTCTGTGGACTCTGCTTCCTTTGTCCTGTGGCTTTTACAGACTCCCATGAGCTACTAAAGGTCACAGGTGACTTTGTTGTTGTTTGACTCTTGACCTACACGTTGGCAAGGATACGTTCATTCAGTGCTCAATGGATTCATAGAACTTTAAATACACTGACATAACTTTGGGCCTCTCTTTTGCCCTCAGACCAGCCACCTCAAACACAGCTTTTCCTCCACCGTATTTACACTGTTAAACCAGAACAGAATGTGTACGAGTGAATGTTCTATCTAACAGTGTAATTAAAACATGTTTGACCATTTCCCCAGATCTGGTAAAACTGACACAGACCAAGGCTGTGACATTCCCTAAAATGTTTGGTAAATCCACCATTCTGAACTATTTCTCTGTGGATGTAAATATGTTTCTAGAACCATTGGAAACTAGCTGGGGTCGTGAGAAGATATCAAGATTATTTTTGTGTGATATTTCTAGAATAAGCACAATGAATTACTCATAAAATGGACTTAATATGTTGAAATATATGAAATATCCCAACTGTGACAAATCCTGTTTTCCTGTGTGCCAAATTTATAACCAGTACTCAATGTTTGGTGCAAACTACTTTTGGATGAACCAAACATAAAGAATACATTTTTATCATCAGTTTTTTTCCTCTTTCTGTTCAGAGCCTGGCCAGCCAGGAGCGTTCACAGTCAGTGACATCAGAGCTGACTGTGTGACTCTGTCCTGGGAGCCCCCTGCTGGTGAAGTGCAGAACTACTCAGTGACCTGTTCCAGCGGAGAAGATGTGGTACAAGAAGTCCAAACTGAGGAAACCAGTGTGACCATCAGAGACCTGAGGCCGGGACAGCAGTACCTGTTCTCTGTGTGTGCACAGCTCCAGAGGCTCCAGAGTGAGGCTGCAGAGACCTCCACTCACACAAGTAAGTGATTGGTCCTTTTCAACAACGCAGCAGGAACACACTGATATGTCCAGATCACATCAGTCCACTGGTCCATTAAACGGATTCGTAGAACTTTAAATACACGGACATAACTTTGGGCCTCTCTTTTGCCCTCAGACCAGCCACCTCAAACACAGCTTTTCCTCCACCGTAATCACACTGTTAAACCAGAACAGAATGTGTATGAGTGTATGTTCTGTGAAAGTGGAGGACTGAAAACACTGACCATCTAACAGTGTAATTAAAACATGTTTGACCATTTCCTGAGATCTGGTAAAACTGACACAAACCAAGGTATTGACATTCTATAAAATGTTTGGTAAATCCACCATTCTGAACTGTTTCTCTGTGGATGTAAATATGTTTCTAGAACCATTGGACACTAGCTGGGGTCGTGAGAAGATTTCAAGATTATTTTTGTGCGATATTAATACAATTGGCACAATGAATTACTCAAACAAAACACATAAAAATGGATTTAACATGTTGAAATATTTGAAATATTCCAACTGTGACAAATCCTCTTTTCCTGTGTGCCACATTTATAACCAGTACTCAATGTTTGGTCCAAACTACTTTTGGATGAACCAAACATAAAGAATACATTTTCATCGTCAGTTTTTTTCCTCTTTCTGTTCAGAGCCTGGTCAGCCAGGAGCGTTCACAGTGAGTGACATCAGAGCTGACTGTGTGACTCTGTCCTGGGAGCCCCCTGCTGGTGAAGTGCAGAACTACTCAGTGACCTGTTCCAGCGGAGAAGATGTGGTACAAGAAGTCCAAACTGAGGAAACCAGTGTGACCATCAGAGACCTGAGGCCGGGACAGCAGTACCTGTTCTCTGTGTGTGCACAGCTCCAGAGGCTCCAGAGTGAGGCTGCAGAGACCTCCACTCACACAAGTAAGTGATTGGTCCTTTTCAACAACGCAGCAGGAACACACTGATATGTCCAGATCACATCAGTCCACTGGTTCATTAAACACTGCCCAGGGTCCTTCAGGAGGACCACCTCCTGATCCTGGTGTCCCCGTTTTGTCTGGGAGGATGTGGATCTGCTGCAGTTTGGCGAGGCCTCTTCCTCCAGAAGGGAACTCCTGTCTCAGGTGGGGGCAGCTTCTGCAGCCCGACCCCGGTCACCTGAGGCTTTGTCGCTGTGGCTTCATGTGTGGGTTTTGGAGGTTGGACTTGTTATGAGCAGCGGCGTGATGGTCCTCCCCAACACTTTTTGCGGTTCTACTGGGTGAATGTTCCTGCTCCGTACCCCCTGGAAAGGGCACTGCAGTACCCTCTTTCTATGTCGCAGTGAGGGAAGGGTCATATTGGTTGGTTCCTCATGGCCTTGCTGATATTTGTCATCCAGTGCTTACAGTTTTTCTCTATTGCTTAAACACATTTCACGATACTGCCCTCCCTTTTCTCAAAACTCTAAACACAAACCTCTTTTCTAAAGCTACGTACACACAACAACACAGTCTCTTTTCAAAACCAACCCCTCACACCCAAACAGTTTCTCATATTCTCAAAACCAACCCATCACACCAAAATACCTCTCATGGTCTGCAAAAATGTGAACACTATGAGCTTCATTAACCACATCACCAAAACAATTGAAAACACAATTTTCAGAATGTGAGACTGTTCTGTTTTACAGTTTCACAACTGCCAGGATGCATTTGAGCAACACTTTTTTTATTCTCAAATATGTTTTGGGCATTTACTATAGATTTGTGCGTGGGAATAGTTACATAACGCAGAAAATGCAGTTATATCAAAACTCAATGCAAACATGGGTACTGTAAATTCTATAGAGGATCCATTAGACACAATAGATACTGCAGTACAGTAACAATTGGAAACACAATAGTCCGGGTGTGTCCCTCCTCGGCCTGCTTCTCTCCCTCTTCGGCCTGCTCCTCTCCCTCTTCGGCCTGCTCCTCTCCCTCTTCGGCCTGCTCTTCTCCCTCCTCGGCCGGCTCCTCTCCCTCTTCGGCCTGCTCCTCTCTCTCCTCGGCCTGCTCCTCTCTCTCCTCAGCCTGCTCCTCTCTCTCCTCGGCCTGCTCCTCTCCCTCCTCGGCCTGCTCCTCTCCCTCTTCGGCCTGCTCCTCTCCCTTCTTGGCCTGCTCCTCTCTCTCCTCGGCCTGCTCCTCTCCCTCCTCTGACACGAACTCCTCTTCTTCTGCCTTGATTATCCATTTTCGTTTTGAACCTTCATCAAACTGCACTGACTTATAAAGTTGTGGTCACATCATTTGCAACAGGAGTTTTCAGTTCTGAGTGGTTGTGTTTTATGAATGACACCAGGTATGTTCATTGTGTTCAGGTTTTGCTGACAGTGGGAGACATTTTTCATCACATGAGCCTCACGATGATTATAGGAGCAGAGATACATGCAAAAAGTGTTTTAGCAAAAGAAAAATGTGTTTAGAGTTTTGAGAAAAAGGGCATGTGTTTTGTGAACAGTGTCTACAGGAGAATTGTGTTTATGGTTGTGAGAAGTGGGGGGAAGTTTTAATAAATGTGTTTAGGCAATTGGTCATTTGGTTTAGAGTACTGGGTTTTGTGTTGTAGCAATAGAGAAAAACTGTAATGCACCGCCTCTCATGGTCAGGAAGGACGACTGTAACTATGATTCTGAGGAAGATGACAAAGTCCGGGGATCGTGTCTTTAATTCAGACAGAAGACATGTTTTAATGTCGATGGTAGAGACAGCACGAACAAAGATGTTACAGAATGCAAGTGATATTGTACAGCATGGAGGAATGGAGTCCTCCAATCAGCTATAGCCACGGTGCCAATGGCTTCAACCTTGAGATACCAAAACATGCAGTGGAAAAAAACTGCCTTGTGCATATTGTCAGAATGATGAGTTAGAACTTTAACCACAGTTGCTTCAAAGTGTCATGAAATCTCTAAAGTTCTATGAATCCTGGATGACAGGCAGAGCATTCTAGTGTAGTGAGAAAGATTCTGTGGACTCTGCTTCCTTTGTCCTGTGGCTTTTACAGACTCCCATGAGCTACTAAAGGTCACAGGTGACTTTGTTGTTGTTTGACTCTTGACCTACACGTTGGCAAGGATACGTTCATTCAGTGCTCAATGGATTCATAGAACTTTAAATACACTGACATAACTTTGGGCCTCTCTTTTGCCCTCAGACCAGCCACCTCAAACACAGCTTTTCCTCCACCGTATTTACACTGTTAAACCAGAACAGAATGTGTATGAGTGAATGTTCTATCTAACAGTGTAATTAAAATAAGTTTGACCATTTCCCCAGATCTGGTAAAACTGACACAGACCAAGGCTGTGACATTCCCTAAAATGTTTGGTAAATCCACCATTCTGAACTATTTCTCTGTGGATGTAAATATGTTTCTAGAACCATTGGAAACTAGCTGGGGTCATGAGAAGATATCAAGATTATTGTTGTGTGATATTTCTACAATAAGCACAATAAATTACTCATAAAATGGACTTAATATGTTGAAATATATGGGGGCGACAGTGGCTCAGTTGGTAGAGCATTGGCCTTTGAGCCTGAAGGTCGTGGGTTCGAGCCCACCATAAGACCTCCTTCACGACTCCCACTGATGACTGCTGTCGTTGTGTCCTTGGGCAAAACACTTAACCCCACTTTGCCTGAAGCTCCTACTGAAAGATCTCAGCTCCTGTGGACTCACCACCTGCCGGAGGATCAGTGAGGGGCTGGCGCTATGTGTACTGGGTGCAACTCTGACTGCCACCCCCCCGACCCAGAAATGGATTAAGGGGAAGAAAATGAATGGATGGATGGATGTTGAAATATCTGAAATATTCCAACTCTGACAAATCCTCTTTTCCTGTGTGCCACATTTATAACCAGTACTCAATGTTTGGTGCAAACTACTTTTGGATGAACCAAATATAAAGAATACATTTTCATCATCAGTTTTATTCCTCTTTCTGTTCAGAGCCTGGCCAGCCAGGAGCGTTCACAGTGAGTGACATCAGAGCTGACTGTGTGACTTTGTCCTGGGAGCCCCCTGCTGGTGAAGTGCAGAACTACTCAGTGACCTGTTCCAGCGGAGAAGATGTGGTACAAGAAGTCCAAACTGAGGAAACCAGTGTGACCATCAGAGACCTGAGGCCGGGACAGCAGTACCTGTTCTCTGTGTGTGCACAGCTCCAGAGGCTCCAGAGTGAGGCTGCAGAGACCTCCACTCACACAAGTAAGTGATTGGTCCTTTTCAACAACGCAGCAGGAACACACTGATATGTCCAGATCACATCAGTCCACTGGTCCATTAAACGGATTCGTAGAATTTTAAATACACGGACATAACTTTGGGCCTCTCTTTTGCCCTCAGACCAGCCACCTCAAACACAGCTTTTCCTCCACCGTAATCACACTGTTAAACCAGAACAGAATGTGTAAGAGTGTATGTTCTGTGAAAGTGGAGGACTGAAAACACTGACCATCTAACAGTGTAATTAAAACATGTTTGACCATTTCCTGAGATCTGGTAAAACTGACACAAACCAAGGCATTGACATTCTTTAAAATGTTTGGTAAATCCACCATTCTGAACTGTTTCTCTGTGGATGTAAATATGTTTCTAGAACCATTGGACACTAGCTGGGGTCGTGAGAAGATTTCAAGATTATTTTTGTGCGATATTAATACAATTAGCACAATGAATTACTCAAACAAACAACATAGAAATGGATTTAACAGTTGAAATATCTGAAATATTCCAACTCTGACAAATCCTCTTTTCCTGTGTGCCACATTTATAACCAGTACTCAATGTTTGGTCCAAACTACTTTTGGATGAACCAAACAGAAAGAATACATTTTCATCGTCAGTTTTTTTCCTCTTTCTGTTCAGAGCCTGGCCAGCCAGGAGCGTTCACAGTGAGTGACATCAGAGCTGACTGTGTGAGTCTGTCCTGGGAGCCCCCTGCTGGTGAAGTGCAGAACTACTCAGTGACCTGTTCCAGCGGAGAAGATGTGGTACAAGAAGTCCAAACTGAGGAAACCAGTGTGACCATCAGAGACCTGAGGCCGGGACAGCAGTACCTGTTCTCTGTGTGTGCACAGCTCCAGAGGCTCCAGAGTGAGGCTGCAGAGACCTCCACTCACACAAGTAAGTGATTGGTCCTTTTCAACAACGCAGTAGGAACACACCGATATGTCCAGATCACATCAGTCCACTGGTCCATTAAACGCTGCCCAGGGTCCTTCAGGAGGACCACCTCCTGATCCTGGTGTCCCCGTTTTGTTTGGGAGGATGTGGATCTGCTGCAGTTTGGCGAGGTGTCAATGGAGTATGTTATTGTGTTATTATCATATTAATAAATGTAACGTTAGTCTAGTATGGATCGACTAGTAGTAGTAGTCTGGTACGTGCAAGAATGTATGGAATTATCCCCCAGCCACAGGAAGTTAAATTAAGGCAAGAACGCAGAAAACATCTGTTTAGAGTAGCCTCAGGCTTACTTTGAGAGGGGCACTGTTTGTCTTGAACATAGGAGGTATTGTCCTCACCTAGGGATGGAGGGACATATGTCTTCAATTATCATGTCATGTGACTGTGTGCTTATCACCGATAGTCTGTTTCTGAAGCGCGGTCTTTTGCTTTGGGTTTGCCAGGGAGCAGGGGCCCAGACTGGAGCACCAGTCTGCCACGTTGCCTGTAATCTTGTATTCTGTCTTTTTATATATTAAACCTTTTTATATATCTAAGCAGAATTTGTAGTGTCCATTCATCATCGAAGGATAAACCGTGGCTGAACCAGCGTTAACACGAGGCCTCTTCCTCCAGAAGGGAACTCCTGTCTCAGGTGGGGGCAGCTTCTGCAGCCCGACCCCGGTCACCTGAGGCTTTGTCGCTGTGGCTTCATGTGTGGGTTTTGGAGGTTGGACTTGTTATGAGCAGCGGCGTGATGGTCCTCCCCAACACTTTTTGCGGTTCTACTGGGTGAATGTTCCTGCTCCGTACCCCCTGGAAAGGGTTCTGCAGTACCCTCTTTCTATGTCACAGTGAGGGAAGGGTCATATTGGTTGGTTCCTCATGGCCTTGCTGATATTTGTCATCCAGTGCTTACAGTTTTTCTCTATTGCTTAAACACATTTCACAATACTGCCCTCCCTTTTCTCAAAACTCTAAACACAAACCTCTTTTCTAAAGCTACGTACACACAACAACACAGTCTCTTTTCAAAACCAACCCATCACACCAAAACTGTGACTCATATTCTCAAAACCAACCCATCACACCAAAATACCTCTCATGGTCTGCAAAAATGTGAACACTATGAGCATCATTAACCACATCACCAAAACAATTGAAAACACAATTTTCAGAATGTGAGACTGTTCTTTTTTACAGTTTCACAACTGCCAGGATGCATTTGAGCAACACTTTTTTTATTCTCAAATATGTTTTGGGCATTTACTATAGATTTGTGCGTGGGAATAGTTACATAACGCAGAAAATGCAGTTATATCAAAACTCAATGCAAACATGGGTACTGTAAATTCTATAGAGCAGTGTCTCCCAAAGTGGGGTCCGCGGCCCCCTGGTGGGCCGCGAGGGTACTGCAGGGGGGCCGCGGGAGGTCATAAAAAAAATAAAAAATATATATAATTATTTAATGTTAAATTTATAATGTTTTGTTTGTAATATTAAAATATTTGTGTTCATTATTTGACTTGAATAATCCACTGTAATCATTTTTGTATTACAATGTTTGTAGCAGAGGCGATTTCCCCAAAATAAAATAACCAGAAGAGCCTATTCTTAATGTTGTCTTCTTGGTTATTATTTTGGGGGGCCACGCAGACCCGTCAGATTTTTAAGGGGGCCTCGGTGTTACTGAGTTTGGGAATGGCTGCTATAGAGGATCCATTAGACACAATAGATACTGCAGTACAGTAACAATTGGAAACACAAAAGTCCGGGTGTGTCCCTCCTCGGCCTGCTCCTCTCTCTCCTCGGCCTGCTCCTCTCCCTCCTCGGCCTGCTCCTCTCCCTCCTCGGCCTGCTCGTCTCCCTCCTCGGCCTGCTCATCTCCCTCCTCGGCCTGCTCCTCTCCCTCCTTGGCCTGCTCGTCTCCCTCCTCGGCCTGCTCCTCTCCCTCCTCGGCCTGCTCCTCTCCCTCCTCGGCCTGCTCGTCTCCCTCCTCGGCCTGCTCGTCTCCCTCCTTGGCCTGCTCCTCTCCCTCCTCGGCCTGCTCCTCTCCCTCTTCGGCCTGCTCCTCTCCCTCTTCGGCCTGCTCCTCTCCCTCTTCGGCCTGCTCCTCTCCCTCCTCGGCCTGCTCCTCTCTCTCCTCGGCCTGCTCCTCTCCCTCCGTGGCCTGCTCCTCTCCCTCCTCGGCCTGCTCCTCTCCCTCCTCTGACACGAACTCCTCTTCTTCTGCCTTGATTATCCATTTTCGTTTTGAACCTTCATCAAACTGCACTGACTTATAAAGTTGTGGTCACATCATTTGCAACAGGAGTTTTCAGTTCTGAGTGGTTGTGTTTTCTGAATGACACCAGGTATGTTCATTGTGTTCAGGTTTTGCTGACAGTGGGAGACATTTTTCATCACATGAGCCTCACGATGATTATAGGAGCAGAGATACATGCAAAAAGTGTTTTAGCAAAAGAAAAATGTGTTTAGAGTTTTGAGAAAAAGGGCATGTGTTTTGTGAACAGTGTCTACAGGAGAATTGTGTTTATGGTTGTGAGAAGTGGGGGGAAGTTTTAATAAATGTGTTTAGGCAATTGGTCATTTGGTTTAGAGTACTGGGTTTTGTGTTGTAGCAATAGAGAAAAACTGTAATGCACCGCCTCTCATGGTCAGGAAGGACGACTGTAACTATGATTCTGAGGAAGATGACAAAGTCCGGGGATCGTGTCTTTAATTCAGACAGAAGACATGTTTTAATGTCGATGGTAGAGACAGCACGAACAAAGATGTTACAGAATGCAAGTGATATTGTACAGCATGGAGGAATGGAGTCCTCCAATCAGCTATAGCCACGGTGCCAATGGCTTCAACCTTGAGATACCAAAACATGCAGTGGAAAAAATCTGCCTTGTGCATATTGTCAGAATGATGAGTTAGAACTTTAACCACAGTTGCTTCAAAGTGTCATGAAATCTCTAAAGTTCTATGAATCCTGGATGACAGGCAGAGCATTCTAGTGTTGTGAGAAAGATTCTGTGGACTCTGCTTCCTTTGTCCTGTGGCTTTTACAGACTCCCATGAGCTACTAAAGGTCACAGGTGACTTTGTTGTTGTTTTACTCTTGACCTACACGTTGGCAAGGATACGTTCATTCAGTGCTCAATGGATTCATAGAACTTTAAATACACTGACATAACTTTGGGCCTCTCTTTTGCCCTCAGACCAGCCACCTCAAACTCAGCTTTTCCTCCACCGTAATCACACTGTTAAACCAGAAGAGAATGTGTATGAGTGAATGTTCTATCTAACAGTGTAATTAAAACATGTTTGACCATTTCCCCAGATCTGGTAAAACTGACACAGACCAAGGCTGTGACATTCCCTAAAATGTTTGGTAAATCCACCATTCTGAACTATTTCTCTGTGGATGTAAATATGTTTCTAGAACCATTGGAAACTAGCTGGGGTCGTGAGAAGATATCAAGATTATTTTTGTGTGATATTTCTAGAATAAGAACTATGAATTACTCATAAAATGGACTTAATATGTTGAAATATATGAAATATCCCAACTGTGACAAATCCTGTTTTCCTGTGTGCCACATTTATAACCAGTACTCAATGTTTGGTGCAAACTACTTTTGGATGAACCAAACATAAAGAATACATTTTCATCGTCAGTTTTGTTCCTCTTTCTGTTCAGAGCCTGGCCAGCCAGGAGCGTTCACAGTGAGTGACATCAGAGCTGACTGTGTGACTCTGTCCTGGGAGCCCCCTGCTGGTGAAGTGCAGAACTACTCAGTGACCTGTTCCAGCGGAGAAGATGTGGTACAAGAAGTCCAAACTGAGGAAACCAGTGTGACCATCAGAGTCCTCAGGCCGGGACAGCAGTACCTGTTCTCTGTGTGTGCACAGCTCCAGAGGCTCCAGAGTGAGGCTGCAGAGACCTCCACTCACACAAGTAAGTGATTGGTCCTTTTCAACAACGCAGCAGGAACACACTGATATGTCCAGATCACATCAGTCCACTGGTCCATTAAACGCTGCCCAGGGTCCTTCAGGAGGACCACCTCCTGATCCTGGTGTCCCCGTTTTGTCTGGGGGGATGTGGATCTGCTGCAGTTTGGCGAGGCCTCTTCCTCCAGAGGGAACTCCTGTCTCAGGTGGGGACAGCTTCTGCAGCCCGACCCCGGTCACCTGAGGCTTTGTCGCTGTGGCTTCATGTGTGGGTTTTGGAGGTTGGACTTGTTATGAGCAGCGGCGTGATGGTCCTCCCCAACACTTTTTGCGGTTCTACTGGGTGAATGTTCCTGCTCCGTACCCCCTGGAAAGGGTACTGCAGTACCCTCTTTCTATGTCGCAGTGTGGGAAGGGTCATATTGGTTGGTTCCTCATGGCCTTGCTGATATTTGTCATCCAGTGCTTACAGTTTTTCTCTATTGCTTAAACACATTTCACGATACTGCCCTCCCTTTTCTAAAAACTCTAAACACAAACCTCTTTTCTAAAGCTACGTACACACAACAACACAGTCTCTTTTCAAAACCAACCCATCACACCAAAACAGTTTCTCATATTCTCAAAACCAACCAATCACACCAAAACAGTTTCTTATATTCTCAAAACCAACCCATCACACCAAAATACCTCTCATGGTCTGCAAAAATGTGAACACTATGAGCATCATTAACCACATCACCAAAACAATTGAAAACACAATTTTCAGAATGTGAGACTGTTCTGTTTTACAGTTTCACAACTGCCAGGATGCATTTGAGCAACACTTTTTTTATTCTCAAATATGTTTTGGGCATTTACTATAGATTTGTGCGTGGGAATAGTTACATAACGCAGACAATGCAGTTATATCAAAACTCAATGCAAACATGGGTACTGTAAATTCTATAGAGGATCCATTAGACACAATAGATACTGCAGTACAGTAACAATTGGAAACACAATAGTCCGGGTGTGTCCCTCCTCGGCCTGCTCCTCTCCCTCCTCGGCCTGCTCCTCTCCCTCCTCGGCCTGCTCCTCTCCCTCTTCAGCCTGCTCCTCTCCCTCCTCGGCCTGCTCCTCTCCCTCCTCGGCCTGCTCCTCTCCCTCTTCGGCCGGCTCCTCTCTCTCCTTGGCCTGCTCCTCTCCCTCTTCAGCCTGCTCCTCTCTCTCCTTGGCCTGCTCCTCTCCCTCCTCAGCCTGCTCCTCTCCCTCTACGGCCTGCTCCTCTCTCTCCTCGGCCTGCTCCTCTCCCTCCTCGTCCTGCTCCTCTCCCTCTTCGGCCTGCTCCTCTCCCTCTTCGGCCTGCTCCTCTCCCTCCTCGGCCTGCTCCTCTCCCTCTTCGGCCTGCTCCTCTATCTCCTCGGCCTGCTCCTCTCCCTCTTCGGCCTGCTCCTCTCTCTCCTCGGCCTGCTCCTCTCTCTCCTCAGCCTGCTCCTCTCCCTCTTCGGCCTGCTCCTCTCTCTCCTCGGCCTGCTCCTCTCCCTCCTCAGCCTGCTCCTCTCCCTCCTCGGCCTGCTCCTCTCCCTCCTCGGCCTGCTCCTCTCTCTCCTCAGCCTGCTCCTCTCTCTCCTCGGCCTGCTCCTCTCCCTCCTCGGCCTGCTCCTCTCTCTCCTCGGCCTGCTCCTCTCCCTCCTCGTCCTGCTACTCTCCCTCTTCGGCCGGCTCCTCTCCCTCCTTGGCCTGCTTCTCTCCCTCTTCAGCCTGCTCCTCTCTCTCCTCGGCCGGCTCCTCTCTCTCCTCGGCCTGCTCCTCTCCCTCCTCGGCCTGCTCCTCTCCCTCCTCTGACACGAACTCTTCTTCTGCCTTGATTATCCATTTTCGTTTTGAACCTTCATCAAACTGCACTGACTTATAAAGTTGTGGTCACATCATTTGCAGCAGGAGTTTTCAGTTCTGAGTGGTTGTGTTTTCTGAATGACACCAGGTCTGTTCATTGTGTTCAGGTTTTTCTGACAGTGGGAGACATTTTTCATCACATGAGCCTCACGAGGATTATAGGAGCAGAGATACATGCAAAAAGTGTTTTAGCAAAGGAAAAATGTGTTTTAGCAAAAGAAAAATGTGTTTAGAGTTTTGAGAAAAAGGGCATGTGTTTTGTGAACAGTGTCTACAGGAGAATTGTGTTTATGGTTGTGAGAAGTGGGGGGAAGTTTTAATAAATGTGTTTAGGCAATTGGTCATTTGGTTTAGAGTACTGGGTTTTGTGTTGTAGCAATAGAGAAAAACTGTAATGCACCGCCTCTCATGGTCAGGAAGGACGACTGTAACTATGGTTCTGAGGAAGATGACAAAGTCTGGGGAATAATTAATTCAGACAGAAGACATGTTTTAATGTCGATTGTAGAGACAGCACGAACAAAGATGTTACAGAAGGCAAGTGATATTGTACAGCATGGAGGAATGGAGTCCTCCAATCAGCTATAGCCACGGTGCCAATGGCTTCAACCTTGAGATACCAAAACATGCAGTGGAAAAAATCTGCCTTGTGCATATTGTCAGAATGATGAGTTAGAACTTTAACCACAGTTGCTTCAAAGTGTCATGAAATCTCTAAAGTTCTATGAATCCTGGATGACAGGCAGAGCATTCTAGTGTTGTGAGAAAGATTCTGTGGACTCTGCTTCCTTTGTCCTGTGGCTTTTACAGACTCCCATGAGCTACTAAAGGTCACAGGCGAATGATAGCAAATGTTCGCTGGGAATGACGTGATTCAAACACGGTTCAAACCAAGTTGTTTGCTACATCCTCACGCTGTACCTGTTCATTCATCTTGAAGGCTTGGATCAAAGATGTCTAAGAGTAAGCTTAAGTCCAAACCGATCAACCCAGATAATGGGGTTGAGGCGCACGATGAGACAGGCAACACTGGTATGTCTGATATCCTGAACGAACTTAGAGCGTTCCGCAACGAAACCTCTGAGAACTTTGTAACTCTGAGAAACGAAATTGGTGACCTACGAAACGGGCTTGGAGAAGTAACAAAACGGGTGGATGCGGCCGAGGAAAGGCTGTCTGCAAACGAGGACAATGAAAGAAACATTACGCGAGTAATGCTTCACATGCTACAAGAACAAAGTCTGCTCAAAGAAAAATGTGAGAGTTTGGAGAGTCACTCGAGAAGAAACAACATAAGGATTTACGCAGTCCCCGAGAAAACTGAGGGAAACAACATTACTGCATTCGTGACGAATCTGCTCTTGGATCAACTTGGAGTAACAGAAGCGCACATTGAGCGTGCGCACCGAGTAGGCCCGCCTGCCCAAAGGCCTGGCCAAAGCGAACGTCCCCGGTCCATTGTGGTCAAATTTAGAAACTATATCACAAAGCATAGTTTGTTAAAGGCTGCGTGGACGAAGAAAACCGTGCAAGTAAACGGCACCAGGATTTATTTTGACGAAGACTTCACTCCAGAGATCTATAAAGAGCGTGGACAGTACAGATTCGTGCGTAAAGTGTTGCGTGAGAGAAAGATTAAATACCATATTTTATATCCCGCAAAACTGAAAATTTTCCTGGAAGACGGCAAAAGCAAGACCTTTAAAAACCCAGTGGCAGCAGCGCAAGGACTACTCGAGTTTGGCATCACAATGAGCATGCCATCGGTGGAACCAGACCTGTGGTCAACGTTACGCGCGTCGGGCTGGCACACCGCAGGCCCCCGCTGAAGACAAGGATTGGCGTGTGAGGTTGTAGATGCTGTGAGACTTTTGACAGAAAATGTGCATCCAATCAGAGATTCACGCTAAAGGGGTTGGAAGTCTCAGCGAATTAACTCTGGACCCAGATTTCCACATGCATGAGGCTGTGAACCAAGCGCGCAACAAGGTACTGACTCTTTTGGTTTTCGAAGCCGTATTCCTCTGTTTAAGGGAACATTTTTCTTTACTGTCGTCCACAATGTACGTTGTGCCTTTCCCATTCTTTTGTTATGGCTGAACAAAACGAAATGGTCATTATGGACCCTAAATTATATGATTTTGAAGCAGATTTGGATCCATAAATGCAAGTGCTTAACAATAATTGAATTTCTTCAAAGTATTATAGCGAAGCTGATTTCAATACTCTCGATGTTATCAGTGTAAACAACTTTTCACTTGTCCATTTTAATTGCAGAAGTATTTATACGAGCCTGAATAAAATAACAAATTTCTTGCAAACACTGAAATGTCAGTTCGATGTAATAGCCTTTTCGGAAACATGGTTAAATGCTGCCAGGGGTAACGATCTAGGAATTAGTGGATATAATTTATATCACGTTGATCGACGTGCGAAAAGAGGAGGGGGCGCGGCATTGTGTATAAAAGATACATACACCTGCAAAATTGTGGAAAGAATGTCTGTTGCAATTGAAAGGCTTTTGGAGTGCGTTGCCGTGGAGATTGAACTAACAACCCGAAAATTGATTTTAGCGTGTGTATACAGAGCGCCAAGCTCATCTGTTGAAGTATTCCAGGATAAACTCACTGAATTGTTAGATTCTACAATGTTGAACAACACTATGTTACTATGTGGCGATTTTATCATTGACTTAAGCAATCCACTGGGTCTAATGTCAACCAAGGATTTTCTCTGTGAAATGTTCAGTAGATGTATGATTCCAGTGGTAACACTACCCAGCAGACTGACACACACGTCTTCAACACTAATTGACAATATCTTCATTAACAATATCGACAATGCTTTCCACAGTGGTTTGTTATTAAGTGATATCACAGATCATTTGCCGGTTTTTATCATTTGTGATTTACAGCCCAAAAAGAACACAAGGGACATAGGGAAATCTAAAAGTGTACGTTCTCGGTCAGAGGAGGATATAAACTCTTTTAGGAGTGATCTGATAAAGCAGGATTGGGGTACAGTTTTTGTGGCTGATGTCAACAATGCCTACGAAGAATTTTTGAACATTTATTTAACTCTCTACAACAGGAATTGTCCCCTAAAAATGTTGAAGGGCAACAGATATGATAAAAAGCCATGGATAACTCCTGGGTTGCAGAAGGCCTGTAAAAAGAAAAACAAATTATACAGAGACTTCATCAAGTATGGAACTAAATATCATGAAATTAAGTACAAAGGGTATAAGAACAAGTTAACAAGTATAATGCGACTGGCAAAAAAAGACTATTACAAAATTAAGTTAAACGAGAATAAGAGCAATATTAAAGAAACCTGGAAAACTCTCAAAAAGGTGATGAATCCAAATCCTCCAAATAAAAATCTGCCGGATTACTTTGTGCAGAATGGAAATGTAATTAACAATGGAGTAGATATTGCAGAGGAGTTCAATTCTTTTTTTGTTAACGTCGGCCCTAATATTGCTAAGAAGCTTGAAAACTCAAACCATAGTAGTAGCCAAAAAAATGGTGGAGGAATCCGAATTTTACAGTCAATGTTTCTTGATGAAATAACAGAAGCTGAAATTCTGGACATTGTTCAAAAATGCAAAAATAAAACTTCTAGTGACAGTGACGGGATAGACATGAGCATTGTATAAAGGACAATAGATTACCTACTTAAAACTTTGAGCTATATATTTAACCTTTCTCTCCGTACAGGTGTTTTCCCACAAAACATGAAGACAGCTAAGATAATACCAATTTTCAAAAACGGCGATCGGTACAAATTTAACAATTACAGACCCATTTCACTACTCCCACAGTTTTCAAAAATATTAGAAAAATGGTTTACCCACAAGTTAGATTTATATTTGGAAAAAAATAATTTACTCTTTGATTATCAATACGGGTTCAGATCTCAAAGATCAACATCTACTGCACTCATTTACTTAACAGAAAAAATACTTGAGGCTATTGATAAAAAAGAATATTTTGTAAGCGTCTTATTGGACTTACATAAAGCGTTTGACACAGTCAATCACAACTTACTGTTAGCAAAATTACAAAACTACGGAATTAGGGGTCAGATCCATAAATGGCTTGAAAGTTATTTAACCAATAGACAGCAATTTGTCCAATATGATAGTTATAGTTCTGAATGTAAATCTGTTTTGTGTGGAATCCCTCAAGACTCTGTAATTGGGCCCAAACTTTTTATATTATTTATGAAATTTACGAGGCTTCTAAAGATCTAAATTTTTTGTTATTTTCTGATGATACCACAGTATTTAATACAGGGAAGGATCTAAATGAATTAATGGAAAACATTGAAGGGGAAATGGTCAAATTAAAGCAGTGGTTCGATTACAACAAATTATTTCTAAACTGGGATAAAACTTGTTATATGATTTTTGGGAAAAAGAACCCACAATTATCAGTCCAATTAATTATTGATAATGTAAACATTGAGTGTGTTTCAGAAGTCAAATTTTTGGGGGTAATCCTTGATAACAAACTCTGTTGGAAGTCACATATTGACTACATCAGAAAACTAGAAACTTGCAATGGCTGAAGCCATTGCGATTGACTGCGGAACAGATCTAATGTGGAAATCTGCTAAAAAAAATCCTTGAAATCCTTTAAAAGGCCTTGAAACTGTTAAAATACTTGATAGATATTTGAAACTCCTGAAGTCCTTGAAATTGTTGAAACCTTTAAACTCCTGAAATCCTTGAAACTGTTGAAACATTGAAACTCCTGAAATCCTTGAAACTTTTTTTAAACCTGGAAACTGTTGAAAGTGTGGAAACTCCTGAAATCCTTGAACCTCCTGATATCCTTGAAACTGGTTAAATTCTTAAACAGTTGAAATCCTTGAAACTACTGAATGTATTGAAAGTGTCCTTGAAACTGAAAAATCCCCTCACCGCTGAAACAATTTGGTTCCTGTAACTAAGGAAACCTGGTCTGTGGTCATTATCTGGTGGTGGTCTGAGTCTTCGTTTGGGTCTTGGTCTGGTGGTATAATGCAACCTATTAGGTTGCATTATACTGGTTTACATGGAAAAATCCCTATTAGGTTGCATTATACTGGTTTACATGGAAAAATCCCTATTAGGTTGCATTATACTGGTTTACATGGAAAAATCCCTATTAAGTTGCATTATACTGGTTTACATGGAAAAATCTCTATTAAGTTGCATTATACTGGTTTACATGGAAAAATCCCTATTAGGTTGCATTATACTGGTTTACATGTACAAATCCCTATTAAGTTGCTTTATACTGGTTTACATGTAAAAACCCCTATTAGGTTACATTATAGTGGTTTACATGTAAAAATCCTTATTAAGTTGCATTATACTGGTTTACATGTAAAAACCCCTATTAAGTTCCATTATACTGGTTTACATGTAAAAACCCCTATTAAGTTCCATTATACTGGTTTACATGTAAAAACCCTATTAAGTTGCATTATACTGGTTTACATGGAAAAATCCCTATTAAGTTGCATAATACTGGTTTACATGGAAAAATCCCCATTAAGTTGCATTATACTGGTTTACATGAAAAAAACCCTATTAAGTTGCATTATACTGGTTTACAAGGAAAAATCCCTATTAAGTTGCATTATACTGGTTTACATGGAAAAATCCCTATTAAGTTGCATAATACTGGTTTACATGGAAAAATCCCCATTAAGTTGCATTATACTGGTTTACATGTAAAAAACCCTATTAAGTTGCATTATACTGGTTTACATGGAAAAATCCCTATTAAGTTGCATTGTACTGGTTTACATGGAAAAAACCCTATTAAGTTGCATTATACTGGTTTACATGGAAAAAACCCTATTAAGTTGCATTATACTGGTTTACATGGAAAAAACCCTATTAAGTTGCATTATACTGGTTTACATGTAAAAACCCCTATTAAGTTGCATTATACTGGTTTACATGGAAAAATCCCCATTAAGGTGCATTATACTGGTTTACATGAAAAAAACCCTATTAAGTTGCATTATACTGGTTTACATGAAAAAACCCTATTAAGTTGCATTATACTGGTTTACATGGAAAAATCCCTATTAAGTTGCATAATACTGGTTTACATGGAAAAATCCCCATTAAGTTGCATTATACTGGTTTACATGTAAAAAACCCTATTAAGTTGCATTATACTGGTTTACATGGAAAAATCCCTATTAAGTTGCATTGTACTGGTTTACATGGAAAAAACCCTATTAAGTTGCATTATACTGGTTTACATGGAAAAACCCCTATTAAGTTGCATTATACTGGTTTACATGGAAAAAACCCTATTAAGTTGCATTATACTGGTTTACATGTAAAAACCCCTATTAAGTTGCATTATACTGGTTTACATGGAAAAATCCCCATTAAGTTGCATTATACTGGTTTACATGAAAAAAAACCCTATTAAGTTGCATTATACTGGTTTACATGAAAAAACCCTATTAAGTTGCATTATACTGGTTTACATGGAAAAATCCCTATTAAGTTGCATTATACTGGTTTACATGGAAAAATCCCTATTAGGTTGCATGATTACACTGAAGTCCTTGAAACTGCTGAAGTCCTTGAAACTGCTGAAGTCCTTGAAACTGCTGAAGTCCTTGAAACTGTTGAAGTCCTTGAAACTCTTGAAATCTTGAAACTGCTGAAATCCTTGAAACTGTTGAATCCTTGAAACTGTTGAATCATTGAAACTGTAGAAATGTCTGAAAGAGCTGAAGTCCTATTAAAATGCATGGGCCTATTAAAATGCATTGCAGAATTCTCAATGCAGATTTTTGTCCGATTGCGGAAAAACCGGAAATCGCTGAAGTCCCAAAAGTAATAGCAATAATCTCCCAAACATGTGGAACGTTTTGATGTATAACTTGTGGAAATTGTTGAAAATGTGAAAGCTGTGAAACGTGTCAAAAAAAATGACGGAATAAAGAAATACAAAACCAATGGTTGACTGCGGAAGGTTCCGCAGTCAATCAAAAAGTAAGTAAAAGTATTGGCATATTGTGTAAGGTCAGACATATTCTAGACAAGACTTCATTGATGTTGTTGTATACAACTTTAATTGTTCCTTATTTTAACTATTGCATCGAGGTTTGGGGAAATGCTAGTGTTATGGCCACAGAAAAGTTATATCTACCTCAAAAGAAAGCTGTAAGAATCATCTGCCACAAAGGCCCTAGAGACCACACTAATAATCTCTTCACAAAATTACAACTCTTGAAATTCAAAGATCTTGTTCACTTCAAAATTACTCAAACAATGTGGAGGGTGAAGAACAAGTTGGTGCCAGTGCACATCCATAATAAATTCTTTTTAATCACAGATAGTAGTAACAGAAGGAAAGGACATTTTTGTGTGCCTTTTTCACGCACCACTTTGAAACAGAAAGGTTTCCTTGCAGCAGGTGTTAAGCTTTGGAACTCTCTGGATCCTTGTGAACAATCCTGTAACACTATTTTACAGTTGAAGAAAATGTATAAAAAAAAGTACTTGCAAATTATGGCAAATGATTGGTTGTTCAAAAATCCTACAAAATAGAGGTAAACACAATAAAATCAACAATAACTACAGCAAAGTGTAAGATTGCTATGTGTAAAGAAAAAAAAATAATAATAAAATAAAATAAAATAAAATAAAATAATAATAATGATAATAAATAATAATGATAATAAAATAAAATAATAATAATGATAATAAATATATAAAGGCGTGCCATCCCATTTTTTTCAATTTTTCAATCTGTCAACTAAATACTGTGTCAAGGGGCATGAAACATAAGACTTTGTCTTCCACATGCTCCTATTCAGCAACATGTAATGGAATTGAACTCTTTGTGTTCTTATTATTTTTATTATGATTGTAATAATGTCATGGCTGAATAAATAAATAAATAAACAGGTGACTTTGTTGTTGTTTGACTCTTGACCTACCCGTTGGCAAGGATACATTCATTCAGTGCTCAATGGATTCATAGAACTTTAAATACACTGACATAACTTTGGGCCTCTCTTTTGCCCTCAGACCAGCCACCTCAAACACAGCTTTTCCTCCACCGTATTTACACTGTTAAACCAGAACAGAATGTGTATGAGTGAATGTTCTATCTAACAGTGTAATTAAAACATGTTTGACCATTTCCCCAGATCTGGTAAAACTGACACAGACCAAGGCTGTGACATTCCCTAAAATGTTTGGTAAATCCACCATTCTGAACTATTTCTCTGTGGATGTAAATATGTTTCTAGAACCATTGGAAACTAGCTGGGGTCGTGAGAAGATATCAAGATTATTTTTGTGTGATAATTCTAGAATAAGCACAATGAATTACTCATAAAATAACTTAATATGTTGAAATATATGAAATATCCCAACTCTGACAAATCCTGTTTTCCTGTGTGCCACATTTATAACCAGTACTCAATGTTTGGTCCAAACTACTTTTGGATGAACCAAACATAAAGAATACATTTTCATCGTCAGTTTTTTTCCTCTTTCTGTTCAGAGCCTGGCCAGCCAGGAGCGTTCACAGTGAGTGACATCAGAGCTGACTGTGTGACTCTGTCCTGGGAGCCCCCTGCTGGTGAAGTGCAGAACTACTCAGTGACCTGTTCCAGTGGAGAAGATGTGGTACAAGAAGTCCAAACTGAGGAAACCAGTGTGACCATCAGAGACCTGAGGCCGGGACAGCAGTACCTGTTCTCTGTGTGTGCACAGCTCCAGAGGCTCCAGAGTGAGGCTGCAGAGACCTCCACTCACACAAGTAAGTGATTGGTCCTTTTCAACAACGCAGCAGGAACACACTGATATGTCCAGATCACAACAGTCCACTGGTCCATTAAACACTGCCCAGGGTCCTTCAGGAGGACCACCTTCTGATCCTGGTGTCCCTGTTTTGTCTGGGAGGATGTGGATCTGCTGCAGTTTGGCGAGGCCTCTTCCTCCAGAAGGGAACTCCTGTCTCAAGTGGGGGCAGCTTCTGCAGCCCGACCCCGGTCACCTGAGGCTTTGTCGCTGTGGCTTCATGTGTGGGTTTTGGAGGTTGGACTTGTTATGAGCAGCGGCGTGATGGTCCTCCCCAACACTTTTTGCGGTTCTACTGGGTGAATGTTCCTGCTCCGTACCCCCTGGAAAGGGTACTGCAGTACCCTCTTTCTATGTCGCAGTGAGGGAAGGGTCATATTGTTTGGTTCCTCATGGCCTTGCTGATATTTGTCATCCAGTGCTTAATGCACCGCCTCTCATGGTCAGGAAGGACGACTGTAACTATGGTTCTGAAGAAGATGACAAAGTCTGGGGATCGTGTCTTTAATTCAGACAGAAGACATGTTTTAATGTCGATGGTAGAGACAGCACGAACAAAGATGTTACAGAATGCAAGTGATATTGTACAGTAGGGGTGGGCGATATGGCCTAAAATTCATATTGCGGTATAATTTGGGACACAGACGGTAGATGGTATATATTGCGGTATAATTTGGTGTGTGAATTTCAATATAGGTCTAGCAGGTTCTTGCATAAAATAGTCAAGATTGTTACTTATTTATATATTAGAATCTAATATATATATTTTTTGAGTTATTCAGTTGTGAGACGAATAAAGAGACAAATGTTGTAACATACATTATTCATGTATGTTACAGTAAATACCATTCACTGTAAAAGCAATTTTTAAAAAGAAAAACATATGCATTCATTTAAAATATAAAAAACTCACAAATGTTGAAATCAAAGTCTGTAGGAGTTAGACATGGTCATTATTTATAGTGTCTGAGAGTTTTGTGCAGGTACATGACTTCAGTAAAAGCTATTGTTCGTTTACAAAGCTGGTCTTGCCATTTGTTGACGCTCCCTAAGCGCTTTTCTCTGTGCTTGCAGTGAACTGGATGATTCAATGGATTTATGTTCATTAAAACAGCACATTGGATTTGAACAATTGATGTAAATGATCATTTTGGCACAATTAATTTTGTTTAACAAAGTAGTTTTTGTGAGATATTGACCGCGGAGGTCCGAATCTCACGCTAACTTTTGCAAACTTCTGCTGTGATGCTGCGGACACGGCACACGCATGGATCTATTTTGGCTCACACTGGCGCTTCGAGCCTACGCCCCTTTGACACTGATTGGCCAAAAGGTAGACTCTTAAACTGTGATTACTGTGTGTGTATTTACCTCTGCTGGGGCCGCTGTGACAACAATACAGAGACAGAAACACGGTGTTAATGCCGTGCTGTTGTTCGTTGTTTCCAGTGGTGTCTGCCAGGCTAATGCTAGGCTAATGCTGCTGAATGCCGGTTTGTTTTGGTCCTTTCTGCTGGCGTCAGAGCCTGCGCAATTTGATGACATAATGACCTATTGCAATATGCCGGTATAACAAAAATCTCTACCGTGGGCCAAATTTATATCACATACCGCTTATACCGTTTATATCGCCCAGCCCTATTGTACAGCATGGAGGAATGGAGTCCTCCAATCAGCTATAGCCACGGTGCCAATGGCTTCAACCTTGAGATACCAAAACATGCAGTGGAAAAAAACTGCCTTGTGCATATTGTCAGAATGATGAGTTAGAACTTTAACCACAGTTGCTTCAAAGTGTCATGAAATCTCTAAAGTTCTATGAATCCTGGATGACAGGCAGAGCATTCTAGTGTAGTGAGAAAGATTCTGTGGACTCTGCTTCCTTTGTCCTGTGGCTTTTACAGACTCCCATGAGCTACTAAAGGTCACAGGTGACTTTGTTGTTGTTTGACTCTTGACCTACACGTTGGCAAGGATACGTTCATTCAGTGCTGAATGGATTCATAGAACTTTAAATACACTGACATAACTTTGGGCCTCTCTTTTGCCCTCAGACCAGCCACCTCAAACACAGCTTTTCCTCCACCGTAATCACACTGTTAAACCAGAACAGAATGTGTATGAGTGAATGTTCTATCTAACAGTGTAATTAAAACATGTTTGACCATTTCCTGAGATCTGCTAAAACTGACACAAACCAAGGCTGTGACATTCCCTAAAATGTTTGGTAAATCCACCATTCTGAACTGTTTGTCTGTGGATGTAAATATGTTTCTAGAACCATTGGAAACTAGCTGGGGTCGTGAGAAGATATCAAGATTATTTTTGTGTGATATTTCTAGAATAAGCACAATGAATTACTCATAAAATGGACTTAATATGTTGAAATATATGAAATATCCCAACTCTGACAAATCCTCTTTTCCTGTGTGCCACATTTATAACCAGTACTCAATGTTTGGTGCAAACTACTTTTGGATGAACCAAACATAAAGAATACATTTTCATCGTCAGTTTTTTTCTTCTTTCTGTTCAGAGCCTGGCCAGCCAGGAGCGTTCACAGTCAGTGATATCAGAGCTGACTGTGTGACTCTGTCCTGGGAGCCCCCTGCTGGTGAAGTGCAGAACTATTCAGTGACCTGTTCCAGCGGAGAAGATGTGGTACAAGAAGTCCAAACTGAGGAAACCAGTGTGACCATCAGAGACCTGAGGCCGGGACAGCAGTACCTGTTCTCTGTGTGTGCACAGCTCCAGAGGCTCCAGAGTGAGGCTGCAGAGACCTCCACTCACACAAGTAAGTGATTGGTCCTTTTCAACAACGCAGCAGGAACACACTGATATGTCCAGATCAGTCATGGTGTCATAGACAGAGGTACAGTGACAGTAGTAAGAAAGGAGGGCAGGACTGCGAAATATAAGAATAAATTAAGTTGAGTTGAAGATGTGCGCAGAAGCAACAACTTAAAGAGAACATGGAAAGAGATAAAAACATGATTGGCGCTCCTGATAGGTACACAGAGTTACTTTCATTGGTCATTTTGCAGATAAGCACTTGGCTGAAGAATTATATACATTTTATCCCTGATTCAATAGTTCTGACTTTGGGGACAACAATGAACTTGCATTGGTGACTATTGGCAAATGTGAAGCAACTTGTTACAGCCCGGCTCTGTGGCTGAAACAAAGAATAAGGTGGATTGACACAAGAACCAGATTTTAAGGTTTTCATGGTTGGCATTTTATTGAAGAATAATAATAATATACTGCGATCAGTGTAAGTGTAATATGAGTGGATGTGTGCAATGCGAGTATTATCAGTAGTAGAACCTAATGTGGGTTTGAGTGTTGAATGAGAATTTGTTACTGTTGTTTTGTTCTGTAAGTGAGAAATGGGCTGATGAGGTGCGTTTGGTGCGAATGATAGTCAGTATGATAACCTTTGTGTAAATGTACATGTTGAGTGCAAATGCGTGTAAAGCTAAATCATACAAAATACGAGTGGCGTGGCCTGACACGTCTGTCCCAGGACATGGTTGGGACCAGTGTGTCAGAGGCTGGAGGGAGAGAGAGACCGTGGGAGTGTTAACATGTCAAAGCTATCGGTAAAGAAAATGGGGAGGGGGGGGATCTCTTAGGTACAATACAATACAATACAATACAATTTATTCTTGTATAGCCCTAAATCACAACAGAAGTCATCTCAGAGGACTTAACAAAACCATTGAAATCACCAACACAGATCAGAGAATCAACAGTTAAAACACAAAAGAATATAGAACACATGTTGAAAAAAAAGTCCATACATTTTGTAGAATGTTAAAGGACAACTCACTTTTTTTTTGCTGATAAACGGTATAAATGAGTGTCCAATAGTGTTGTCTACATATCCTGGTCATAATTTTGTCACTTTGGTGTAAATTAGTTGAAAGTTAAACTTTCTGCCTAAAACCGTCTGTGAGGCGCCATCTGCTGGCGACCTGTATTACTACATTTGAATTTTGAATCTGGCGCCAACACTGGCGCGGCAGCAAGACCTGACGTCTGAAGCAAGACCTGACGTCAGCAGCCCCCCGCCCAGAGCAATATAAACGGCCCAGTCTCGTTCACGCCCCCTTTAGTTCTCCAGGCTACGCCCATTTAGAGGAAGATTTGAACAGGAAATGTGAGTGACGTAAGCTCCGAGGAGCGGAGGTGAGAACCACTTTAAAGTGTCCTGGATCATCACCATGTCCTTTTTGCTGGACACTAACTGCCCAACAGACCCTCCTGCATCGGCAAGGAAAAACTCATTAGAAAACCCAGTGGGAAAAAAGTGAGAAACCTCGGGGAGACCCAGAGTTTGAGAAAGGGGTCCGCTCCCACGGACGAACGGGCTAAAGATCCAGGACCTAAGCTACAGAACATAGACCAGCGGCCGCTGAACATGGACAGGTCAAGTGCAGGACTGAAGAACTCCCAGGCGGGTCGGGCAGGGCAGTCCCCACAATGTTATATCATCAGCAAAATATCATTCTCAAGACACAGAAACAGAGCATTATATCATCTTTTAGAAACTAGTATTGAAAGGAATATTACATCATTACATAGCAGATATTAAAGGTGTGAATTAAGTCTAACTGAATAAAAAGTACATTGAAAAATGAACAGATAACAAAGATAACAGATTTACAATTAACTAAATAAAATAAATACGATTTAGCAAATAAATATTAGCCAGTAATAGCTACTGAAATAAACACAAAACATTTAACTAACTTAAAACAACACAAACTAACAAAGTGAATTGTATTTAACCAATAAATCAACCTAATATATACTAGGAAATATGTCTAAACAAAATAAATAGTAAAAGTCCAAAAAACTCTGGCCTCCGACGAAGGAGGTGTAAAAACAAAAAATAGCTGTCCTGCGCTCGTGTCTTAGTCAAATGACGTGGTCGGATTGGTTGGATTTTCTCTTGCCAATCCTGGAGGAGTAACACCACGTCTAGATTTGGGTCCGCCCAGCACAGAAGAATGGGAAGATTAAAGAAAGCAGTTCTCTGTGCCCAAAGGTGCCGAAGCTGTTGCGGGTTTCGCTGCTGTCTTGGCTCTGATCCAGTAGAATGTATAGCTGCACTTATGAAAAGTGCGTTGCTTGAAATGGCTTTTATTTGAAAGAACGTTTCAACCGGTTAAAGAGGCTCTGTAGTTGGTCATGAAAATGTATAGTTTTTTTTACATCCCTACTTCTGACAGAGTGCCCCGGGGCAGCTGTGGCTACAATAGTAGTTTATCACCACCGTGTATGGAGTGAAAAAAAATTCAAAAGTGAAGCATCTTTGAGTATCCAAAAAAGTGCTAACTAAAACCGATGGAATATTATTATTATTATTGTTATTATAAATCTCTCCTACATGGATTATACTCATTCCAGTTGGCATACTGGTCAACCGTTTTATTGTTTCTGCATTTTTGTGTGATTTATTTGAAACGTTTTTAATTCGAGATCCCACACTTTACAGGCAATACAGCACTGCACTAGTACCAATAATATAATAACCAGTAACAATGGTTGTGTTTCCTCAGGTTCCAAACTGGAGACATTTCTGGAAGAATTGAAGCTGATCCATCACTACAAAGACAAGTTATCGTTGACAGAAATTCTCCAGATCGATGTCAAGGCTACAACAGACGAACCTGCCAGGTCTAAGGAGGATGCAGTCTGGTATTTTGTAAAAAAACTTATGATGGCAAATGTATCAGCGAGAAACGTTGATCATGGCTCAGACATTGATGACTCAATCACAGAGTCCACCTTTGATGATCTTCTTGTTAGTGCTGATTCAGATTCACTGAACCCTCTTGACATAATAACAGCTCTGTTTCTGTGCTCTGATAGCTTTGTGCAGCAGGAACTGTCACTCAAAATGTCCATGTGTCAGTTTGCTGTTCCTCTGCTGCTTCCAAACTGTGACACAAACCAGTGCACACTGATGCTGTGGGCTTTGAGAGACATTGTCAAAAAGTACAGACCTAAATCTCTTTCTGAATCCAAGGGCTTCAAAGAAGAACGTGTCGTTAACTCTAAAATCCCGATGATTTCGTTCGTGAGACTTGGTGAATGCTCTTTGTCCAAGTCTGAGATTCTAAACAAACTCCTGAGCAACTCACAGCAAAACCACGACACCTTTGTGCACCGCAACATGCAGTGTGGTGACAACCGGAGAATAATCTCCAATGGACTCGCTGAACTTACTTGGTACCTTCCCTGTGGGAATAAAAACATTGACATCTTTGATGAACCAGTGGCAGTCGTTAACCTCCGTGGGGATATTACCAGCTTTGAAACACAGTATGCTTTTCTCTGTCAAGCGTCGTCTGCGGTTTTTATTTTTTCTGACAATCTTGTTTTTAATCCTGACCTGCTGAAAAAAACAAACCAAACAGACAAAGAAAAGATCTACTTAGTGGTTGATGAGAAAAACAAACAGTTCAACATAAAAAATCTAAAAACAGTAGCTGCGAGTCTGGGTTTGAGTCCGAGTAAAATCCTTTTGAAGAAAAAAAATAAAAACGATGCAGACTTTGTCAAGGACTTACAAAAAACTATTATTGATGTTATTAGAAAGACGGAAACTAAAACACCTATTGTGAAAATGGTTGACATATCATTTAATTCGGGAATAAAGATTGATGAAAAACAACCTGAATGTCAGAGCGCCAAAACAAATGCAGATAATTTAACTTGCAAAATAAAAGACATACTTGAATTCAAAGAAAAGCAGCTGCCCTTGCAGGGACAATTTTGGAAAGAACTGACTACTATTGAAAAAGAAGAGTGTAGACTCAGGAAAGTAGGAACTGAAAGCCTTGAACAATACAAAAGTGAACTTCAAGAAAAAATACAAACGATTAGAGCAGAACAGAATTCTCGAAACATAACAGAAGCAATGACCTGTTTCATCAGCGCAATATCAAGCCCTGGGATCGAAAGGTTCTTCTTTTTGAAATGGCTTCGGATAAACCTTGATAACCTTTCTCATGAAAAGTTGTCAAACCTCAGGGAGCAATATAAAAAAAAATGTAATGATTTAGAAAACAAAGAAGAGATTAAAACAATAGACACACAACTCTCCAACAGTTCTTTAGGAACGGAACACTTCTTCAGGGAAATGGGTCAACTCTACGAGGCTTCATTGTCTCTTCCAGAAGAAGACCCTTCACGCCAACAGCTGCAGCACCTTCCCAAACTGTGTGCCCAGCTTCTGATTGATGGTTTTCCTCTGGAGCTGGTGGATGGAGATGCCTCCAACATCCCTCTCAAATGGGTGAGTGATGTTCTGACCCAGCTCCATGACCTGGTGTCTCCTAACAACAAGATTCTGGTGGTCACAGTCCTCGGAGTCCAGAGCACAGGGAAGTCCACTCTCCTCAACACCATGTTTGGAGTGCAGTTTGCAGTGAGCAGTGGCCGATGCACGAGAGGCGCCTTTATGTTACTCATCAGAGTCAGTAAAGATATGAAAGCTTCTCTCAACTGCGACTTCTTAGTGATCATCGACACCGAGGGCCTCAAGTCTCCAGAACTTGCTCAACTGGATGATAGTCACGAGCACGACAATGAGTTAGCAACCCTTGTGGTTGGATTGAGTGACATCACCATTATCAATATTGCTATGGAGAATTCTACAGACATGAAAGACATCCTGCAGATAGTTGTGCACGCTTTCCTCCGAATGAAAGAAGTGGGTAAAAAACCCAGATGTCAGTTTGTTCACCAGAATGTTTCAGACGTTTCAGCTCATGACAAGAACCTCAGAGACAGAAAACTGCTCTTGCAGCAGTTAAATGAGATGACTCAAGCTGCAGCTAAGATGGAGAGAAAAGAAGAGAATAAGAGCTTCACTGATGTCATGGACTATGACCCCGACACTGGAAACTGGTACATCCCTGGACTGTGGAATGGAAGCCCCCCAATGGCCCCAGTCAATGTAGGATACAGTGAAGCAGTCCAAGAACTCAAGAAAAATGTTGTGCACAATTTGGAACAATGTGGATCATCTGTCACTAATATATTGGAGTTTTGTGAGTGGATCAAAAGTCTGTGGACCGCAGTGAAGCGTGAACACTTCATCTTCAGCTTCAGAAACAGCCTTGTGGCTGATGCATACATGAGACTGTGCACAGAATACAACAAATGGGAATGGGAGTTTAAGAAGGCAATGTATTCATGGAGTGCAAATGCTGAAACAAAAATCAAAAATGTTGAAACTGCTGCAGCTGCTGAGGATTACAAAGATATAACAGAACTTCTTACAGAGTTGAAAACAGAAGCAAACAAAGAAGTAGAAACGTGGGAAACAAAGTTTCTTAATAACCTGGCAGAGTACTTCAAACAAGAGAGACATGCTTCGCTTATAGAAGAATACAAGCAGAAGTTTGAACTCTTTATCAAAGGACTAGGAGAAATATTGCTCAATAAAGTATTAAGAGAGCTCACTGCAACAGCAGACATGACACAAGGGCAGGCAAAGTTGGATGCAGTAAAGGAGAAACACGCAGAGGAAATAGAAGTCAGGGTTCAAAAACTGATTGAGGACTGTAAAAAGAAACAAACTGAGATGAAAGATGAAGATCTCGACAAAGAATTTGAAGAGATGTGGACAAAAACACTTAATGAACTTGAATTCTCTAAACAAAAGCCTCTAGATATATTCAAAGACGTGGAATATCACCTCAGACAGAACCTGAAAAACAAAGGTGTAACATACGAAGAATTAAGCAAAAAGAGTCTGAAAGAATGTGGGCTTGAACCATTTAAATGTACTTTTGGGATATGGAAAAAAGGTATACACCTTATCTCCAAAGTAATCCGTTATAATGATGATGTAACCAAAGCAAATCAATTAGCAGAAAAAATAATTTCAGAATGTCAAGAGATAGTGACTGAAAAAGTTCAGAGAAAAAACAATTACCATGAAACCTACATCCATGAGATTCTTCACTGCATAGATGACCATCTTCAACAAGATAAATATGGGATGGAGGTTCCTCTGAAACAACACATCTGTGCAAATGCTGCCAGACAGCTTGAGAAATTACAAACAGATTTTCTCAGTGAAAATGATCCTTACATCTGTCTGAATAAAAACAAAGCTAAGTTCTGTGCAGATTTCAAAGACTTGTTTCATGAACGAGACCAGTGTCAGAAGAAAGCAGCAGAGTTCACTGAGCGATGCCTGAAAGCTGCGGTAGAAGACTCCGTTAACCGCTCTTTGGGTCTTGATATCGTTGATAAAATGCTGACGTGTGAAGAGTTCAGCACACGTGTAGTTTTCCAACACGCTCTCCTGTTGGACCTGCTGGAACAGGACAACTTTCAGCAGTACCTTAGATACACCAGAAACTACGAGAACTATGTGAAAGATTGGATTCTCACAAAGATCGACTCACATTCATCAGAGATATCAGAGTTTGAGAAAAAACACATTCAGTCTTGTGTCCACAGAATAACTGAAGCAGTGAACAAAGCTAAAGATGGAACCAGTGAAAACATGAAATTATATGTTAAAGACATCTGCAAAGAGCTGAACGACAGATTAGTCATTTCGAAAGAAGCTCTGGATACTTTCATGGTCCTGAACAATGCAGACACAGAAGCATTTTCCCTTTGCCTGATTGTAAGTGTTGATGAGATGGGACAGTCCCTTTCAAACAAAGTAAGCATGGACATCAAAACGAAACTTGAAAACCTTCATGTGAAACCCCAGAATGAAGTCTTCACCAGAGTGATTGGCTGTGGTGAACTGTGCCCCTTCTGTAAAGCTCCATGTGACGCAGGTGGAGGTGGCCACACTGAGCACTGGGCCTCACTGCATCGGCCTCAAGCTTTTGGTGCTTACAGATATGATTCATCTAAAAAACTTACAACTGATATATGCTCAACAAACGTACAGAGTGATGCAACATTCAAAAATGCTGATACAAAAGACAACTGGCACCCATACAAAACATACAGAAAAATCTATCCCAACTGGAAAATAGCACCAGACGTCAGCCTCGAGGCATCAGACTTCTGGAAGTATGTGTTGAATAAGTTTAATCATGAGTTTGCAAACTTTCATAAAGCAAATCCTGCAGATATCCCAGAAACGTGGAAGTCAATCGACAAGGAGAAGGCCAAACAAAGCATCGATGCATCATTTGGTATCAAGACAACGAGCAGTGTTCAGTAGAATTCTAACAACACAGATAAAACACCTGCTTCACTTCACTGGGAAAAGATCATGAAAATATACAAATTAAAATAAAGCACAGAGAAAAGAGGAGGTCTGTGCAATCCGGGTTGGGTTTTGGACTTTAGGTACTTGTCACTCATATTGATAATATTTGTAATCATGTAAAAAAGAATATCATACTGACAGTTGAACATAATAAAACCAGAACAAAACAAATTGGGATTGATGACTATCCATTTTCATCTCCTTAATCCATTTCTGGGTTGGGGGGTGTCAATCAGAACTGCCACCCCTGATCCCCCTGCACGTGGTGGGGGCAGAGTGTGGTTAAGTGTCTTGCCCAACGACAGCAGACGTCAGTGGGAGAATTGTGGGATCATTTGTAAAATCTTCTTGTTTGGCCAAGATGTATTTGAACCTACTGTGAGATATTACTATTACTATCTACACAATACTTCTGCTGTTTAAAAACATGTATTCAGATCTTATGGTCTTACTTTTTCATTTACATTTTTTGCATTTAAGTCACAGATCATGTTATTCTGAGTTATTTTTTTGCCAAATCAAAAGTTTTTGTGTTGTGCAGAGGTCTCCAACCTTTTGTTAACAGAGATTCTATACATTTTCCACAGCTTTTGGCTTATGAAAATATTTGTAATGAGGTTGGAGGTTGTGGTTTTTGGAGACTCCTGTTGAAATGCATGGTTTTCTTCTTTCTGTTTTTCATGGTTTTTCATCCATTTGAATCATTTGTATTTTTGTTTCTATTTTGAACAGAACTATATTATCATCCATAGAATACACCAAAGATATTGTGAGAGCCATAAGAACAAGTTGTACCGATGTGAAAACCAAATCAGAAACTGTGTATTAAATATAATATTAAAATAAAAATAAAAACAGGTGTGTGTCTGTTTAATCTGCCAAACTTAAAGCTGGGGTTCCTAACTTTTTGTTGCATAAGTAATACATCTTTGTAAACAACAGTAACATGTTGATCTTATTAGAGATTAGGTTGGGCTGCCAGTTTATGGACAGGAGAAATTTATATTTTTGTTTTTTAGAAATCAAAATATCCAAACAAAACACAACACCACACTTTTAAATGCAACTGGTACAAAAATAAATTATATGTAACACAGGGTTTGTAATGTTTCTCGGTAAACCCCACAGAATTTAGAATGAAATAAGATAAAGTTTATTGCTCTCACAGTGAAGAAATGTCACATTTGGCATAAATAGAACGACTCAGTTTGTGCAAAAAGACTTGAAATGTGCAAACATTGTAATGGTTAAAGTATAGTCTCTTTAGTGCAGGATTCATTATGTACATTACAAATTAAAAGGGACTATAGCAGTGCAAGTTTTTTCAGGACTAGTTCATTAGCATCAATGCTGCAAGTTGCTAATAGTTGAAATTCATTTCTATAGCAGTGCAAGTTTTTTCAGGACTAGTTCATTAGCATCAATGCTGCAAGTTGCTAATAGTTGAAATTCATTTCAGGATCCACTAATGACACACCTTAAATCATTTTAACTGATGTTACAGCTATTACCAGTAAGAGACCTGTTACTTTTAAGTCGGTCCGATCAATCCTGTGATTTTAGACAAATGTAAGGAGTGTTAGTAACTTGCACTTTTTTAAACTGTATTTTATTATGTATGTTATATGATTGGGAAGGACACAGATGAAAAGTAGCAGCTGCTAAATCTGGTGCAGCCATCTTTGTAACTGCACATCATGCTTATTAAATTAAACTAAACTTTTAGCTTTATAATATATTAGAATATTAGCATCAGAAGCATTTATTATTAATAATAATAATGCATTGGTGGTGATAAACTACTAATGTATGTAAGGTTAAACTGAGGGCAGGACCAAGCCTGTCCACTCTGTTTACCATTGACCAAATGGAGAGATACAGCTTCAAAGGAGCCATGGGGTCAGCCACAAGCCGCCATCAATCATGAGGATTACAGATGCCAAAAAGAGTAATAAAGTCACCACGGGGATAAGCACCTCTGTCTCTGCCTGCCTGTAGAGATCAAAGATCACAACCCTGCCCTCGCTCACAGACTCCTGCCACCGGACAATCAAAGACTCTCCCGCGGCGCTCTGACGCCCCCTTGTGAACAATGGACACTATCACACCCGGGACGGACAATTGCGAACCGGTACCCCTGGGTCCAGTACTCCAATAATCTGCATTGTGCCCCATATGTGTGTATCAATGTCAAAGTAATGAAATACGGTGTGTGTTTGTACATGTCTTATGATTATTAGCATCAATCCTGTGTGTTTCCTTTACAAACTGTCTGTTGTAAAAGGGGTCTGTCCACAGAGGGCAGGGGCGGCATGGACACGCCCCCTGGGAAGCCTATATGAGCACCCACACGCCATTGTTCTTTCTCTTGTTTTCCCCGAATCCACTATAACAACCACCCGTGGGTACGTGTTCCCTACACGGCCTGCGCTCGCAACCTCCCTCTCAGCCCTGCGGCCACGCAAGTACGCGCCTCCAGCAACGACTGTGCCGTCCGCCCCGAGGCCTCCCGCTTCCACGCAAGCCTCCTTTCTGGTTGGAATCTACGAACTGTTCATCACCAGCCTCTTTCCTTGGCTCGCGTGCACCAGCAGCTGGACCAAACTAGCAGGCTTCATAACTCCCGCCTGCCCGGACAAAGAAACCACGTGGGCTGTTTCCCAACCCAAAGCCCTTCTCCATCCTCTACGCTCCTCCAAAGTAAGACTGTTCCTTGTTCAGTGTTCAATTTGAATGAAATGTGTACAGCTCCTACTCAAATGTGACCAGAAATCCTTTTTCGTTATGCTTCATCCCACTTTGTAATCAATAAATCCCTTTTCTTTAACTCAATCCTATCAGAGTCGTGTTGTTAAGATCTCGGACTATCACTGGCGGATAAAAGTACTCACTACCTATTAGATTTATAAGACTGACTCGAGGCAAAGATTTGGTTGGTGTCTATGTGCAGATTTCTAACTCTGCTGGTGCCCAAAATAAATAACATAGACCTGTTGGTGGAACGGCGAGCTTCCGCTCCGGAGACTAGCCGCTCCACACTACCAAATTCATACTAATAAGTAATTATAATCAGCTAATATAAGTAGTCACCCTACATATTGGTACCCTGTTTGTGAGATCCGCGTATATGGACCAGAATTTATCAACCTCATACTCTGTGAATTGATCCGTAAACGCTAAACTCTGCCACTGCCCGCTCCAAGCGCTTTCCCCCCACCCCCGCACCCCCTCTGCTCCTCTAACCCCGTTGCTATGGTGAATTTGACAACAATTTGAGCTCCCCTAACGCGACCGCTTGCAACAAAAGCGCTCGTGATCCCAATAGACTATATATAGTCTCAAATCCTGACTTTTTGTACAGGTACTACGCATCTCCAACGTGTAGCCCCGTGGGCAGCGTGGAATGCGAAGCCGCTAACCTCTGAAGAGAAAGCGCAAAAACTTCTCCTTGTAACCACTGTGCACCGTGTCCAGAAACACGAACGTACAGACCTCTCTGTGCTCCTTTGTGACCCGAGTCACACAGGATTGTAACCGAGTATATCGGTGTAAAAGGCTGTAAATGGCAGCTGTTTGAATGTGATGCTATCGTTCTGCTAAAGGTTGCTAACGCTAACTCTATCTCACCACTCTCTCTGCCTGCTAACCTGCTGTTGTATACACACACCAGCACCCTACAGTACATACAGACAAACCCCATTCCACCACTGCAAATACGTGCTTGTGCGAACCGTATAACTCGCTCCAGACTTTCGTTGTATAAACTACTGCTAAAACCTCCGCGCTCGAAAGCTAACGGCTAAGCTACCCTCCTTTGTTCTAGCTAAGCTAACTTCCGCTCGGGCCTGCTAAGCCTCAAAGCTACACTCGGACAACATCGTTGTCCTACTACTGCTCACACTATAAGCTGCTTCTCTACCGTTAAAACTAGTGCTACTCTGTTTGACCAAACTGCATTCGGTTACTAAGACTCATTGTTTACTGCTCAAACTGCTTCTAAAAACGTGCCGTTGCCGGCAAAACTAGCTAGCTACGCTCCTTTGTTTTTAGCATACGGCTAAACTTCCGGCCCTGGCGCGCTAAAAGCCAGAGCCGCATCCCCACTGCTAATACCATTCTGCTGTACTGCCTACCTGCTGTCTAACAATAACACTACTTACTATACTTCGTACTATCATATCCCACTCTGATTCTGTGTTCTGACGATCATAAGGCGCCAGCCGTCTCGGCATACTGCTAAACGGGCCGCACCTCTTATTGTCTAAACACAAAATTGCTTTCCGGTCCCGGCACTACTTCCGGGACCACATTGCTGCTGTCTTGACTTTTACCCTGCACTACGTCTCCTGATCAAGTGATTGGCTGTGGTTGTAACATTAACACTGTTTTGGCTGTTGTCCCTTGCTGTTTCTGTTCCAACTAAAATCTCTACTTTGCCAAACTTGATGTTTGATTGTACTAAACTAATACGCTAATTCCGCCCCTCCTTGCACTAAACTAAAACTAATAATTTTAATTCCGCCCCCTTCTGCATGTCATATTGTTTTATTAGAACACATTTACTGCTATACATAACAAAAGCTAACGCTCTGTTTCTGCTTCTCCTCTTAAACATAATTGTTAAGCTACATTGCTGCATTAGCCAAGGTTAATGCTGTAAACTCTGCTCTCCTTCTGCTGCATGTCGCTGGTGATACGCATTCTATGCTTTATTCCTGCTCACTCACTACTGCTAGTTTACAGTAACACATCTGTGTGGTGATTTAACAAACACTGCACTCCCACACACCCCCGCCCCCTCCTTGCCACTGATAATAACACATTGCTGTGGTAACTAATCCTATTCTGTACTCCTGCTCCTGCATGATGCGCGTTATTGTTGAACCACATCGGCGTGTGATCTGACAGATACTGCACTCCCACCTAGTGGTGAAACTAACACTCTACTATGCCAAACTCTATGTTTGATTGTACTACATCAAAACTAATACTCTATTTCTAACCCTCACTGTCGCTAAAACTGCATTACCTTGCCTCAGCCTGCTGCCTTTTTGCTACTGCTTACTGGAGCTGCGTCTAAAGCTACGCCGCGCCACGAACGCAGGTGCGTCACAAACGCAGGTGCGTCACAAACGCAGGTGCGTCACAAACGCGCCTCTAACGCTGCGTCTCTAACGCTGCGTCTTAAGCCGCGCCCATCGCGCTGCGTCTTAAGCCGCGCCCATCGCGCTGCGTCTTAAGCCGCGCCCATCGCGCTGCGTCTTAAGCCGTGCCCATCGCGCTGCGTCTTAAGCCGCGCCCATCGCGCTGCGTCTTAAGCCGCGCCCATCGCGCTGCGTCTTAAGCCGCGCCCATCGCGCTGCGTCTTAAGCCGCGCCCATCACGCTGCGTCTTACGCCGCGTCCGTCACGTTGCGTCTTACGCCGCGCCCGTCACGCTGCGTCTCTAACGCTGCGTCTCAAGCTGCGTCTTAAGCCGCGCCCATCGCGCTGCGTCTTAAGCCGCGCCCATCACGCTGCGTCTTACGCCGCGTCCGTCACGTTGCGTCTTACGCCGCGTCCGTCACGCTGCGTCTCTAACGCTGCGTCTTAAGCCGCGTCTTAAGCCGCGCCCATCGCGCTGCATCTTAAGCCGCGCCCATCGCGCTGCGTCTTAAGCCGCGCCCATCGCGCTGCGTCTTAAGCCGCGCCCGTCACGCTGCGTCTTACGCCGCGTCTGTCACGTTGCGTCTTACGCCGCGCCCGTCACGCTGCGTCTCTAACGCTGCGTCTCAAGCCGCGTCTTAAGCCGCGCCCATCACGCTGCGTCTTAAGCCGCGCGCCCATCGCGCTGCGTCTTAAAGCCGCGCCCATCACGCTGCGTCTTAAGCCGCGCCCATCGCGCTGCGTCTTAAGCCGCGCCCGTCACGCTGCGTCTTAAGCCGCGTCCGTCACGTTGCGTCTTACGCCGCGTCCGTCACGCTGCGTCCCTAACGCTGCGTCTTAAGCCGCGCCCATCGCGCTGCGTCTTAAGCCGCGCCCATCACGCTGCGTCTTAAGCCGCGCCCATCGCGCTGCGTCTTAAGCCGCGTCCGTCACGTTGCGTCTTACGCCGCGTCCGTCACGCTGCGCCTCTAACGCTGCGTCTTAAGCCGCGCCTCTAACGCTGCGTCTTAAGCCGCGCCCATCGCGCTGCGTCTTAAGCCGCGCCCATCACGCTGCGTCTTAAGCCGCGCCCATCGCGCTGCGTCTTAAGCCGCGCCCATCGCGCTGCGTCTTAAGCCGCGTCCGTCACGTTGCGTCTTACGCCGCGTCCGTCACGCTGCGTCTCTAACGCTGCGTCTTAAGCCGCGCCCATCGCGCTGCGTCTTAAGCCGCGCCCATCACGCTGCGTCTTAAGCCGTGCCCGTCACGCTGCGTCTCTAACGCTGCGTCTTAAACCGCGTCTTAAGCCGCGCCCATCGCGCTGCGTCTTACGCCGCGTCCGTCACGCTGCGTCTCTAACGCTGCGTCTTAAGCCGCGCCCATCGCGCTGCGTCTTAAGCCGCGCCCATCACGCTGCGCCTTAAGCCGCGCCCGTCACGCTGCGTCTTAAGCCGCGTCCGTCACGCTGCGTCTTAAGCCGCGTCCGTCACGCTGCGTCTTACGCCGCGTCCGTCACGCTGCGTCTCTAACGCCGCGTCCCCCTACGTGCGCCGACGCCACTAACCCCAACGCTCTCCGCTGACACACAGGTGAAGAAGTACTAACGCCCGGCCCCTGCCCTAGGCCGCCTACTCGCATACACCGCCACACGGAGAGGACGCTGTAGTCACGGTTTTGACACACACCAAGGTCTATACCACCACACGACCAACAGCTAAACTACCCTCTCTATAGCACTGCTTTCCTCCTTTCCCTCCTCCCACCGTGTCGTACACACACGTTCCAAGTCATACTCGCATACACTCACCCACACAAATATGGAAATCGATGGCGGAAACTCGCCACGACCAAGCAGGCACGACGGTGTCTCAGAAGGACACGGCATAGTGGATAACTTTCTGCGAGACCTCACAGAGAAGTTATTCCCAGGGGGCTACGACACGCTTGAGCACAGCTCACTCTCTGACTTACAAGATGCTACCTCCAGATTAGCATCCGAAGCTACTACGACAAAACTCCAAGGTAAGACCCTAACCCAGTGGCTAGGACGACTGGCCATAATCTCCAGGATAACCTTGCGCGACTCCGAAGCCCAGAAAGCAAGGCTCCAAAACACAGTGAGTGACCTGGAACGACAACTGGCGGAAACTAGGAAATCCGCCGCGACCCGCTTACAACAAATCCCACAGGTAAGTAGGGACCACCAACAGGGACTGAGCATGACTCCAAGCGCGACCATGGATCTTGATCGCGCAGCGGAAATCAGGACCGCTATTTCGAACGGAACCAGCCGTGACATTACCTCCGGCCCACACTCCCCTCGCTCCGACCGCGGCGAACCATCGTCCAACTGTGAACGCAGGAGCGTGGCCGAACTGGTAAGTATCATGACGGGAAAGGACCAAAATCAAGGTCATAGGAACAATACACAACCCAACATTGGACACGTCGACCACTGCGACCCCCACGACGCCCCTCCGGGAACACACATGGACATGCGACACAGACAACATGACTATCCGACCCATGACCCTGGCCCACCTGACGTCCATACGAGACATGTTTCAGACTGCAGCCATTGGGACGAAAGGGCCCGCCCTCAACATAGCGGACAAACCTACAACGACCCCCCTGGCCCACATCTGAACATGCTACATGGACCACACGACTCACGGTGCCCCAAGTCTGGGCCGTCCGCATATGCTGCGACACAATGGCCAGTGACCCGCGATGGGAACGCCGGGGACCTCCCCAAACATGGAGGACAACCCCACGGCGACCCCCCTGACGCACGCCAGGACTTAACCCTAGGCCAACGGGACTACCCGGACTGGGGGGGGACGGCCCCCGACCTCGACAGGTCGGACTTAGCCTCCCTCCGACACGACAACCCCACACTAGAACGCCCCTTCGACGTCACGATCGACACGACGCTCGGAAACCCCGGCCGTGATGAAGAAATAATGCCGATACGCCATGGGCTGTTAGATTCTGCTTCCGATACACTCACTTCGTTGGTACTCGTGGTGCCTCGAAGCATGAGGGGGGTAATGTTGGCACACGCCCATGACGCACCTACCGCGAAACAAACAGGTATAAACAACACACGTCAGGCACTACAACAGGTAGAAACGACGGACCGGACGGTGACCGAAACACCAAGGTACGTATCCCCAAACCGGAGTGACGAGAATGTGAAACTCCCCCGGCTCCTGAGGACAAACCAATACAGGACCGACCCGCAGGACCACCTCCAGGTCAAAAACCAGGTATGGTATTACACCTTGGCACATTCCCCAGGACACGTGGGAACCGGCCCCACCAGACTACGCCGGAAACCGCGACCCCGCTGGTCAAGACCATACAGGGTGGGAAACAAACTCTCAACCGCAGTGCACCAAATCGAGGTCACAAAAGGTAGAGAGCCCACCCTCAGATGGGCCTGTTACAGCCAAACCAAACCACACAAACAAAGCCCCATGGGACAAGCAGGGCACACTTCAAAACCCAGTTAGGAACACACCACGTGACCTCAAACACGATTAGTCCAGCACCCACTAACACTCTTCTCGGCTGCACTAATCGACTCTCTCTTTCTCTGTCCCTGTCTAACCCCTAACAGTTGTTTCACGCCTTGCAGAACATGTGGTCCACTTTCCTTCTCGTGCTGACCTGCATACTGGGCCTCGGCACCCCAGAAATTATTGAGACCGGACCAGCCTCCGGGATCGTTTTAAAGGAACAACCCGGGCTCCTCATCACGGACGTCCGACTCCACACACAGCGAATCTTTGTCAGACTCAATCCTAGTGAAGTCTGCCGCAAGAACCTGCCCTTGAAGGTCACACTCAAAGATTGGGCAGGTGCACGCTGGACCCAGACGGTCGTGGAGCATGCTGAGGCAGACATACAACACATGCTGACGCAACTAGAGAAGTTCACGATCACTAGGACAGAGCTCAGTGACCCCCGCCCCAGACCCAAACGATTTATTGGGGCTCTCCTCGGCGCGGCGTCCGCCCTGGGCACCCTCTTTAGTTTAGGGATGTCCACGGTAAACGCCATCAGCCTATCCTCCCTCAGACGCCACCAACAAGAAATGGCCTCTGAGCTCGAGGATGTCAAAACCAGACTTGACCAACAACAGAACGACGTGGTAACCTTGGGAAAATCCCTAAAAGGAACCATGCTAGTACTTAACACACACGAGGTTGCGATTAAACGCACCTCCGCTGCGGTCAACCAACTCTTAGACGTCCTCCAACTAGACTACGCCCATACTCAGCTGACCACCCAACTGATGGAGGACATGCTACGTCACCTCAGTTCCTCGATCGAAAACCTAGCCATGGGCCGTATCCCGCCATACCTCGTGCCGCTATCGTTAGTTGAGAACATTCTAGCCGTAGCCACACGGGACGCCGTAACCCCCATGCAAGCCCACTTAGCGTACACGCTGGGCGCTGCAGTCCCCATCTATGTTAATCCTCTGGACCGCGAGGTAGCCTTTCTAGTCACCCTACCGATAGTTCCCGGCGACAAAATCTACCGACTAAAAGGGATCACTAACCTAGGGACTTGGAGGGACAATGCCCACGTCAGAGTCCAGACCCCAGACATAGTAGCCTACCACGACAGTAACCCCAATTTATACCTAACGCCAAACCTAAGGATGTGTACCCTCACCAAGGACATCCATTACCTCTGCCCCAGCAAACCTTTCGTCAAGGACAGCACCGATGGCATCTGCGGCCTGAGGCCCATGACTCCAGGGAGTCGATGCCCCGCGACGGTCACCTCTCGGAAACAAATAACCGAAACTAGAGCAGAGATTGTAGGGGCACGCTGGCTAGTGAACACTCCCCTTACAACGGCGACCCTGACCTATGACAAACACGACACCTCGTCCCGAGTAAGCCTCCCGGACGAAACCTTTTGGGTCGACGTCCCAGCCGACGCTATCCTGCACGTAGGCGACCTGGCATTATACCACCTGTATCCGAACCAGTACGAGGCAGAGGTCGAGATACCAGAGTTCTTTGAGGAAAGGGCCTTGGAACTTCAACCCTCTACCCTAGTCCAAGCCACCTACGAGGGGGCACAAACCGTTGACGTTACGGTCGTAGACAATCTCCTTCAAGAGATTGCCAAGCGACCGACCATCCACCACCAACCAGTAGCCTACTCCTGGGCCGCCCCCGATACAGTCATGGCCATCGCGGTAGGACTCGGGTACGGCCTGGTCGTAGTCATGGCCTTCGTCCTAAATAGACGGGTTAGACGACTCCGCGATAGCTTTAACAGGTGCACGGAGGCAATGACGAGACAGATCCGTAGACGACCAAACCGGGGCGACAGCGCCGTCGAGCGTGGCAATTTGAGTCGGCGTCCCCAGGTCAATGAGTCAGAGTACGAGGACCTCCAAAGTCACCCACTCGAGGCGGTCACCCTTTCTATCACGGAAGGTGAACCAAGGGCCTAAAACACCACTAAGAGTCACCAGCTCAGACCCAACCAACCTACCTCGATACCTAATCAGTCTCCTAGACAATCATGCCTGTCATCCCCATTTATATGCAGGAAATGTCCCTCGTAATTAAAGCCCCACTTGCTACGTCATATATTCGTGTAACCCTCACACTCCCCTTTTAGAACGAGCAAGATGGGAACCCCTCACCATCGAGTGCCTTAACGACGCTCCTACCCGCTGCCAAGGCAGCCACCTTTTTTTTTTGGTTTTTGAAGTTTCCTATTTTGTATCCTAGTCCCCTAAAGTAGAAACTCCTGCTACTCTCTTGGCTTGGAACTTTGAGTCTTCCAGACCAAGAGACCCAGGAGTCAGGCGCACCGGCCCAAACCTTAGAGTTCACGGCCGGAGCTCACTCCCTAAAACCCCTGATTCCGGTTAGAACTAGCCTGCAGGGCCAGGACTCGCCTTAGAGAAAACCCGGCCTCGACAAACCAAGCCAGAGGCCCGAGACCCAACCGCTACGAGCCTGCCCCAGTTAGGCGCTTGCGAGCTACTGAGTCACATTGAGACGGGAATGTTGTAGCATGTCACTACAAATTGTACACTAACACCCGAACAGGCGAGAAGACCGACTGAAGACAACCCCACAGCATATCCGACATGACATGCACCTTGTCGGAAGGTGCATCTCTGCCGTGGGGGGGGTATGTAAGGTTAAACTGAGGGCAGGACCAAGCCTGTCCACTCTGTTTACCATTGACCAAATGGAGAGATACAGCTTCAAAGGAGCCATGGGGTCAGCCACAAGCCGCCATCAATCATGAGGATTACAGATGCCAAAAAGAGTAATAAAGTCACCACGGGGATAAGCACCTCTGTCTCTGCCTGCCTGTAGAGATCAAAGATCACAACCCTGCCCTCGCTCACAGACTCCTGCCACCGGACAATCAAAGACTCTCCCGCGGCGCTCTGACGCCCCCTTGTGAACAATGGACACTATCACACCCGGGACGGACAATTGCGAACCGGTACCCCTGGGTCCAGTACTCCAATAATCTGCATTGTGCCCCATATGTGTGTATCAATGTCAAAGTAATGAAATACGGTGTGTGTTTGTACATGTCTTATGATTATTAGCATCAATCCTGTGTGTTTCCTTTACAAACTGTCTGTTGTAAAAGGGGTCTGTCCACAGAGGGCAGGGGCGGCATGGACACGCCCCCTGGGAAGCCTATATGAGCACCCACACGCCATTGTTCTTTCTCTTGTTTTCCCCGAATCCACTATAACAACCACCCGTGGGTACGTGTTCCCTACACGGCCTGCGCTCGCAACCTCCCTCTCAGCCCTGCGGCCACGCAAGTACGCGCCTCCAGCAACGACTGTGCCGTCCGCCCCGAGGCCTCCCGCTTCCACGCAAGCCTCCTTTCTGGTTGGAATCTACGAACTGTTCATCACCAGCCTCTTTCCTTGGCTCGCGTGCACCAGCAGCTGGACCAAACTAGCAGGCTTCATAACTCCCGCCTGCCCGGACAAAGAAACCACGTGGGCTGTTTCCCAACCCAAAGCCCTTCTCCATCCTCTACGCTCCTCCAAAGTAAGACTGTTCCTTGTTCAGTGTTCAATTTGAATGAAATGTGTACAGCTCCTACTCAAATGTGACCAGAAATCCTTTTTCGTTATGCTTCATCCCACTTTGTAATCAATAAATCCCTTTTCTTTAACTCAATCCTATCAGAGTCGTGTTGTTAAGATCTCGGACTATCACTGGCGGATAAAAGTACTCACTACCTATTAGATTTATAAGACTGACTCGAGGCAAAGATTTGGTTGGTGTCTATGTGCAGATTTCTAACTCTGCTGGTGCCCAAAATAAATAACATAGACCTGTTGGTGGAACGGCGAGCTTCCGCTCCGGAGACTAGCCGCTCCACACTACCAAATTCATACTAATAAGTAATTATAATCAGCTAATATAAGTAGTCACCCTACATGTAGTAGCCACAGCTGCCCAGGGGCACACTGTCAAAAGCGAGGCAACCAGTCTGCCATTGGCTCCTACCATCACCAACCATTCACACACACACCAGACTCATTCTAATGTGGGGGAAGTGTCTTGCCTAAGGACACAACCACAATTTGGCACTTTACAGCTGCAGCCACCCCACTGTGGCACCTGGTGTCTGTTCACTGTTCACAGAATTTCTAGGCGCAGCCAGGGTTCAGAAGGGGTCCGGTTTCGGAGATACCAGGATTTCATCTCTGCTGTTTGCAGACGATGTTGTCCTGTTGGCTCCAACGAACCAGGACCTGCAACATGCACTGGGACTGTTTTCAGCTGAGTGTGAAGCAGCTGGAATGAGAAGCACCTCCAAATCTGAGGCCATGGTGCTCGACCGGAAAAGGTGCCTTGCCCTCTTCAGGTGGGTGGAGAGGTCCTTCCATCAACGAGGACGTCCCCCTTAAAACCTCCCATTCTCCGCTAGCTCGAGGCAGCTGGACCTGTCCTTCCAGTCTGCCTTCACTGCTCCTCCTGTGTTGTTCTGTTACGTTGTCACTTCGTTTTGTTGAGCTCTAGTTTTTGTATAGTGACATTTATTATTATCATTATTCTTATTATTTCTGTATTCCTCATTTGTTTCCAAATTCATTTTATTCACAATCATAAACTTACTTCAATATGGACTACTACCATTTCTATCTGTTTTTTTGTTGCGTTCACACTCCCTAGCTGAGCCAGACGTAACATATGGCTGTATGAATGGTCAGTTTTATGCAGTTAAACAGAACAAAGTTGCCAAAAGCACCTTTAAGTTTTCTTTCTGTGTAAGCTGAGATTCCCTTCTCTGAAAACGAAAGTGAAAGTAACTGATAATAGGGAGATCCCCGCCCCTCTTTCATAACCTCCCTGTCTGCTCTGACCCAGCTCCAGTGCAGCTCAGAGACGGAGATGATTCACCGGTGAGAGGTCAGTGACACGTTTATCAAATGTTAAAGTGAGAAATACAGTCGACTGCTTCATTACTGCAGAAAATATCAATGAGAACAAAATGAATTTACTAACATTTAACCCTATATTTCTGAGTAGCTCTTACTTCTAATCAGACTGAACTACAGAAAAGGCAGAGGCAGAAGCGTGAAACATGGAGTTACCTAAATTCTTTCTTAAATACACGTTTGAAGGAACATTTTGTCAACAAATCAGAGCATGATGACTTTACTGGAAAACATTTGATATTTTTCATACATTTACAAGAGCTGATTGGCTGAATACAAGCTGGGACTCTCTCTTTCACTGAACAAAGCTCATCTAACAGATGTGACAGAGGCCAAAAATCATGCAAAAGCTGGAACTAGTTAGGGTTGAAAGTTAGGCATCACAGCTTTGAATAGTTCTGTTGTATACATTTTATAGTAAAGAATTTGAAATAACATAAAATAGTCGTAAGAGTCAGTTATTAACTAATCCTCAACTGTGTATTCAAACACAGCACCTGTAATCTGTTGGCAGCAGGTCAGCTGAGAGATGGGAGATATGTTTCAACAGGTTTTCGGCAATATCTGTGTCTAAGAACAAAGTGTCAGAGATGTATCAGAAATGTATCACCGTAAAGAAGGGTAAAGAGAAGCCTTGAGTCAGACATATCGATACTGACTGCATTTGTGTAATATCTAGCGTAGATATGTCTTTGTTTACTCTGGTCTTTATAATGTCCAGGCATTTCCTCATTCAGGGCAGACGGTTTAGAGCTGCAGGTGGTATCTGGGTCGTGGTTCTGTTATGTACTGTCTTTTTCATATTTACTAATAAATAAACGCACACTTTGAATGTATTACAGCTCTTGGTTGTTTTCCTTGTTTTGCTTTCGGCCTGTGCGGGAATTCCACAACAGGCATCGAACCATTTCTTAACATTCATGCCATGGGTCAAAGAAACCGGCATTTCAAGGTTTAATGAGTCTATCGTCTCTCCTTGTTCTCCGTCCAGTTTTCTTTGACTGGTTTGAAAGCAGAACAAGTCCAGGGATGGAATCTTGAATTAGTGCGACAGAATCTCTCCCTGCTGCTTCGTGTTTTGATGTAAAATAAATTCCAAATGGCCAGTGTAGTTTCAGTTCATGAGTCTCTGGGGGCGGGACAATGTTTGTATAAATATGATTACACTCTTAAGTACAGTAATATGAAGTGCTTTCTGAAGCCGCAGGAGTCGGTTTCTTGGGTTTGTTTTCCTTGTTTTGCTCTTGGTCTGTGTGGGAATGTCAGGACAGGCATGGAACCATTTCTTAACATTGGTGTCGTGGGTTAAAGAAAAAAGCATTTCAAGTTTTAATGAGTCGGACAATCCTTTGTTACAGCAAAGACATTAAACCAACGTCATTATGGCTGCGAGAGACGCCCTGAAGACGACGGACGAGGAGGAGGAGGAGGTTTGTGTGTTCAGCTGCAGTAATGTGTGTGTTTCTATGTTTGTGTAGCTACAGTAATGTGTGTGTTTCTATGTTTGTGTAGCTGCAGTAATGTGTGTGTTTCTATGTTTGTGTAGCTGCAGTAATGTGTGTGTTTCTATGTTTGTGTAGTTGCAGTAATGTGTGTTTCTATGTTTGTGTAGCTGCAGTAATGTGTGTGTTTCTATGTTTGTGTAGCTGCAGTAATGTGTGTGTTTCTATGTTTGTGTAGTTGCAGTAATGTGTGTTTCTATGTTTGTGTAGCTGCAGTAATGTGTGTGTTTCTATGTTTGTGTAGCTGCAGTAATGTGTGTGTTTCTATGTTTGTGTAGTTGCAGTAATGTGTGTTTCTATGTTTGTGTAGCTGCAGTAATTTGTGTGTTTCTATGTTTGTGTAGCTCAGATTCAGATTCAGTTTCAGTTTATTTTGCCATTTGCAGTAAAAAAACCACATTGGAATACATTAGCAAAAGTCTCCAGTGTGCACAGACAAATACAGACATAAAACAACATTAAAAGACAAAAATAAAACAGTAAACAAATGTCACTGTGAAATCGATCGACTAAAACAGTTCAAACAAGTGCAAATCATTAAAGTGCTCTGTTCACACTGATAACAGCTTGTGGATAAAAACTGTTAGCGTAACGAGATGTCCTGCATCTCAGAGAGCGATATCTTCTGCCAGAGTGAAGAAGCTGGAACATGGCTTTCCCAGGGTGGCCAGAAGAGTCATTGATGATTTTAAGAGCTTTGTTTAAAAGTCTGGATTTATAAAGAACCTCCAGAACAGGAAGCTCACAGCCCACAGTCCTCTTTGCAGAGCGGAGCACCTTGTTTAAAGCTCTCTTTTCTTTATCTGTGATGTTTCCAAACCACACAGACACAGAACCAACAAGTAAACTCTCAATGGTGCAGCGATAAAAGTAAAGCAGAATCTTAGAGTTAGTGGTAAATTCTCTAAGTTTACGCAGAAAGTAGAGACGCTGACGAGCTTTCTTAACGACTCGGTCAGTGTTTTTAACCCATTTCAGGTCATTAGACAGAGTTAGACCCAGAAACTTGCACTCCTCTACGATCTGTACCTGGGAGTTGTCGATTACGACAGGCAAATGAGAACTATTGCGACTGAAGTCGTAGACCAGTTCACATGTTTTCGATGCGTTCAAATGGAGGTTGTTAGTTTTACTCCACTGAACCACATTTTGTATCTCTGCTCTATAAGAGGATTCATCATTGTCACTGATGAGACCGATGATGGTGGTGTCATCAGCATATTTGATGATCAAGTTTGAGTCAGAGGAGGACACACAATCGTGAGTGTACAAAGTAAAAAGCAAAGGACTCAAAATACATCCCTGAGGAGAACCCATGCTCACAGAAACAACATCAGAAAAACAGTCATTGATTTTTACTCTCTGAGATCTGTCAGTTAAAAAGCTAAAAATCCATTTACACATGGCAACACTTAAACCGAGAGACATGAGCTTTTCAATCAGTTTACCTGGGACAAGGCAGTTAAAAGCAGAGCTATAATCGATGAAAAGCATTCTCGCGACAGATTTCCTATTGTCCAAGTGACTGTAGACAGAGTTCAGAGCAAAGGAGATGGCATCCTCCACACTCCTGTTCTGTCTGTAAGCTAACTGGAGCGGGTCAACACTCACAGGAATCTGGCTCTTAATGAAGTCCAGCACAAGCCGCTCAAAAGTTTTCATAAGAACAGACGTGAGGGCCACAGGACGATAGTCATTCAGGCATGTCACAGGAGTTTTCTTAGGAACTGGAATGATGGTCGACTCTTTAAAGCAGTTCGGCACAGTACAGTTCCTTAGCGACAGGTTGAAAATGTCTGTTAGCATAGGAGCAAGTTGCTCGGAGCACAGTTTCAGGACACGAGGAGGGATGCCGTCCGGGCCTGGGGCTTTCCGGACTGTGGTCCTGGACAAGACACGCCTGACTTCCTCCTGAGTCACGGTGAAGGTACCTTGATTGAAACACTAAGGGAATACAGTAGGACAGGCATCAGCGGATTCAAAGCGACAGTAGAACGTGTTCAGCTCGTTTGGCAGAGCTTGGTCGACAGATGCAATTTTCCCAGCACTAGGTTTCCACGATGTGATGGCTTTAATACCGTTCCACATGCGCCGAGGGTCATTTCTCAAAATAACTCTTTAACCTGTCCCCGTAACTGCGCTTTGCAGATTTAATAGAACGTTTCAATGAGTAACAGGATAGCTTATAAGCAACTGTATCATTTGATTGAAACGCCAACGCACGCTCATGAAGTTTCAGTTTCACTTCCGCGTTCATCCAAGGGTTTTGACTAAAATGTTCTTTAATGACCTTCTGTGGGACACAGCCGTCAATACAGAAGCGTATGTATCCAGACACCGCGTCACAGAATTCATTGACGTCCTCTGACTGAAACACAGACCAGTCCGTAGCATCAAAACAACCTTGTAGCTTCATGCTAGCCTCCCCAGACCAACACTGCACAGTGCGAGAGGTTGGTTTATGTTCCCTGCTCCTCTGAGTGTATGAGGGAAGAAGGAGAACAGAGGAGTGGTCAGACTTTCCAAATGGAGGTCTGAGACTGGACCTGTAAGCTCCCTTCACGTTACTGTAGCAGTGATCCAGAACATGTGCTCCTCTTGTAGCTTGAGTCACATGTTGGTAAAAGTTCGGGAGTACAGTCTTTAAATTACATTTATTGAAATCCCCAGCAACAATGATGACTGCGTTAGGATGAGCAGACTCATGTTTGTGAAGGATCTCGCTCAGATCCTGTAGGGCTACTTTGTAATCCGCCTGTGGGTGAATGTAAACAGCGCATAAAAATATCACTGAAAACTCACGGGGAAGATAAAAAGGGCGGCAGCTCAAGACCAGGCATTCCAGATTGGCAGTACATGTTTGGTTCACGATTCGAGTATCCGTGCACCAGCGCTGATTAATTAAAAAGCACACACCTCCGCCTCTGGCCTTGCCCGTGGTCTCCTTCACTCTGTCCGCGCGGTGAGCGGTGAATCCCGGGGGCTGAACAGCAGAGTCCGGGACGTTCGTGTGGAGCCACGTCTCGCTGAGGCAGAACACAGCACAGTCCCGGGCCTCGCGCTGGCTCTGGACCCGACACAGGAGCTCGTCTGTCTTATTGGGCAGAGACTGTACATTTGCCAGGTAGATGGAGGGCAGAGCGGTCCTGGAGGAGCGGCTACGAACGAGCAGACCGCCTCGCCTTCCCCGGTGTCTGCGCCTCCTTCGCCGACTCGAGGTGCCCAGCTCCACACCGCGGAGAGAACGCCGGAGACGCCCAGTCCCCTCGCTCTGTTGGCGGCCACCGCCGCGGCCCGCCTGCCGTGCTCCACCAGCCTCTCGAGTGGGACACTCGAGGAAGTTTGTGCACCTCAGTTCGGGTAAAACGAGTGACCCGTCACCCGCGTGATCCCGAATGTGCAGAAGTGTTTGCCGATCATATTTCACTGTGGCAAGTGAATCCCAGACGAAAAACAACAAAA